CCTTCAATCACTGTCAATCAGCTTTTCTTAAGAAAGCTAGTGTTACTATTTATTATTATTATTCCCAATAATTTAACAGCATTTCTATGGTGTCAAACATTCACCAAATGACTGACTTTGTAAATTTTGCAATAAATTATGATTTCAGGAAAAAATGTACAAGGTAATTTGCAGAAAAATAGACTTAAACTTTCCAAAAAAAGATCAAACTGTTGTTGATCTTGGTTCAGTGGTGATATGCTCAAATGAGCCCTGAAAGCTATAATAATAATAAATTTAAATGTAATGTACCTAATATTAAGACAGTAGAATGAAAACCACCTAGCACTATTCTGTACTATTATTTCCTAATTATGAAGGAAATTAACTTCTTAGATTTTAGTAATTTTCATTAAGAATTGTATGGAGGTTTCATTAGCTGATTGTAATTTACTGATACATTTTTTAAATTACAATTCTAAATATTTTCTCTAACAAATAGACCCAATATATAAAAAAAGGGCAAGAAAACACATGATCAAACAATAGACATGCAGATAAATTCCTAAGGCACAATTTCCTTCCCAATAACATATAAATGGATCATGTAAACAAGTGCTACACTTCCAGTCTACAACCATTGCTGTTATTATTATTATTACAGTATTATCATTATTGTCTAGTATTTGGTGATTCAGCTCATCATTCTGTACTGTGGCGACAACAAATTTCATGTATTATTAACATCGACGTCAATTTATATCAAATTATCATTTCCAACAACAAGAGTAGAGTGTAAAGTACTGCATCGTTCTTACAACATTCATCAATATAAATGCAAGGGTCTCTCAGGTGAGCAAACAAGACTTAACAGGGAATGTGCGAGAACAAAACAAAAAATGTCAGAATAAAAATTAGATAAACACCCATCACCATTTAATGTGGTACTGTGAGATTATGAGCTGGGCTAGTAGAGAGAAATAAATATAGGAAGCAAAAATTTGGAAGCACGTTAACCGCTGGGCTATATGGCCTTCAACCAACCTGTCCTCTTAAAAAGAACGTCGCTTTTGGCCGTTTGCCCGTATGGCCGAATTTGGACGTAATTTGAAAATGAAAAAAAAATTAAAATAAATTTGGGATTTCTTTTTTCAACAACAGTAAGTTAAGGGTCCTCTGATAGGTTAGGTGGGCAGGAAATTCTCATAAAGTTTCAAAACGTTATGAAAAACGTGAATTTAAAGTGTCCTCTTATAACCTCTGCGCGTAAGGTGGACGACTCAAATAGAAAACAGAACAGAACGTCACTTTTGTGAGTCGATTTCATTTCAAATTACGTCCAAATTTAGCCATATCGCGCATACCAGCCAAAAGTGATGTTCTTTTTAAGAGGACGGGTTGCTTCAACACCCACAGGCACAAAAAAAAAAAAAAAATCTTCTTATAAAAGATTTCATTTGTGTTCCCTGATCACAGGAAAATAATAATAAAAGTGGTATATTTTGGCCGCAATAAGACGAAGAAGTCTGGCAAAAAAGAGGCGTTGACAGAGCAAGCATCGGAGGCGGTGAGCTCCGCCCGAGCTGTCAAGTGGGAGTTGCCGCAAAGACATTATTACCTAATTATTTCAAAGTCTGATTTTTCTCCATTTTTTTTTTTTTACCGTAATATTCAATAGTGTGCAGTGTGATATATTTATATAATACAATGGGTGAATCATCACTATACTCAAAAGTATTGTGATCATATTAGTGATTCAATTATTATGTTCATAAAACAATAAACAAATAGTTTTGCCGTTATTACACTATATACACACAGGTTATATAAACGTTTCTGCATGTTTTGTTCACCATAAATGTACAGCTAAGCTGGTATGGTTAGTTCAGACTGACAGATCGCCACCCACAGCTGATGTTCCCTCCCCTCACTGGTTCAAGGCCAGATGCACTAACATTCCTCCTTCAAGTATACTGTTTGTGGTGTTATTATACTATATACACATACATTATACATAAGTATCTACATGTTTTGTTCACCATAACTGTTCAACTAAGCTGGTATAGTGCCCAAAGAGCATATTGGCCACCCTTACACACCATGACAAGTCATGCAGATGATGCCACCTCTCACCAAAATGGCTTCTCACAACACTCCTTTTGCACTATATATATACTGTATATACATGTTATATATAACAGTATATATATATATATATATATATATATATATATATATATATATATATATATATATTTATTTTGGTAGCAGTCTTTCCTGTAGACATATATTATTAAATATGACTGAAAAAGTAAGATTAATAATTCTAACACAAACTTTCTCAACGTTTCTTATATTTTTTTTCACTGTTGATGGTAACTGAAAAATCAATTCTCCAAAATTCATTTTTATTTCTAGTCTGACGCGACACTTGAGCGCGTTTCGTAAAACTTATTACATTTTCAAAGAATTTAGTTTACACACACACAACTATAACTGAATATATAGTTGTGTGTGTGTAAACTAAAGTCTTTGAAAATGTAACAAGTTTTACGAAACGCGCTCAAGTGTCGCGTCAGACTAGAAATAAAAATGAATTTTTGAGAATTGATTTTTCAGTTACCATCGACAGTGAAAAAAAATATAAGAAATATTGAGAAAATTCGTGTTAGAATTATTAATCTTACTTTTTCGGTCATATTTAAAATAAATATATATATATATATATATATATATATATATATATATATATATATATATATATATATATATATATATATATATATTTATAATATAATATATATATATATATATATATATATATATATATATATATATATATATATATATATATATATATATATATATATATATATATATATATATATATATATATATATATATATATATATATATATATATATATATATATATATATATATATATATATATATATATATATATATATATATATATATATATATATATATATATATATATATATATATATATATATATATATTACACTATATATATACTTGTTATATATAAGTATCTACATTTGTGTTCACCATAGCGAACCACTAAGCTGGTATGCTGAGTGCAGACAGTAACAGGTGGCCACACAGATTCGGCCGATGATGCTACAGCCCTCCCTCCCTCAACATTACTCCTCCCACAATACTACGCACAGGGTATATTATCACAACAATCCTTCTATTATCAGAATCCTGGTCATTTGTATCACAGTCAGGGGTCTTCTGTAATATTATCTTTGCTAAATTATACAAGTTACATATATATTTGACATTTTTAGGTGATGCTGTGGTCACAAGCTGAACAGCAGTGCCGTGAGCTCATGCTGAGTGCACCAGCCTTGGTGGCTCACTCAGTACCAAGGCTTTCACACCTGGGAATGTTGCCCATGATTTAAAAAAAAATGGTGTCTGTTTACAAGAGCTCTGAGGATGCAGATGTGAACCCTGTGTAGCCGCGGGACTTTTAATCTTGCGTGTTATTCCCATACATCATATGATGTCGTGCGCAATTTATCGACAGTTACTCAAGACATCATATGATGTTTTGTGCAGTTTAAAGGCTAATGCATTTCCAACAAAGAAATTGTATGTACTATATGCAGTAATTCTATATGATATTTAAAACTGATGCATGTGTAAACTGCACATAAACAATAATTGTCAGCATTACAGATAATTTGTTACATTACCTAATCTGTCAAATTACAACAAAAAATGAGTGTAAATTAATAATTAATCATACCTTCATTTTATGTACATTTTAACTGTTTATATTCAACACATTTGTATTAATGCACAACAAGTGGATTGTGGCATCCAAATAAAAGTTGGGCTATTGGTAATTTAAAGGGCCCAAACTGAAGACAAGAGCCTGACCTGTCATAAGTCTTGAAATATGGATTGGGGGAGGGGAAGAAGAGTGCAATTTAATCGTTCACTACTCTGACTCTAAAAAAAAATCTACGCAATATCTCTGTGGCTTCCATCTGTCTCCCTTTGTTCGTATACTACCCCCTACTAAATATTCTGTCCTGTCTATTCCCCTGAGTATTTTGTACGTGTTAATCATGTCTTCCCTGCTTCATCACTCTTCCTGTGACATTAGGTTTAACACCTGTAGGCTTTCCCTGCAGCTTGTACCTCTCAGCTCTGGGACCAGTATGGTGGCATACCTCTGAACTTTCTCCAGCTTCTCTCAAATCCAGTACTGATCACAGCAAACTTGTAATGACAGAACACTGGCTTCTACAAATAAACTGTGTTCAAAAAGAATGAAAGGCTTCCAACAAGCTGAGATGCAAGTATGTACGATGCGAAGTATCAAGATGCTTTAAGGTCAAGGTCGAAGCTCACAAATATGTGGGGCATCCATACTCCAGTTGCTAATATCATTTACGGGCTATTCGTGCCCGTGCCACCTCTTGGGGTAGCTTAATCTTCATCAAACGGCAAATATCATAAAAAGTAAAATTTTTCATTATGTCACAGTAAATATTGTGTACTGTATGTACTATAATATTGGGGGATGGCTTATTTAAATTGTAATCTCTCTCTCAGTGCTGTAAGGAAATAAGAAAAAATGAATTTCTACAATATTTAGTTTGGGGAAATTATTTGTTTATAACTAATTACAGTGGAACTTCAGTTTTCGAATGCCCCTCTTTTCAATTTTTTGAGCCCACTTTCTGGATGGATAGTGGATAGGGACTGGATGGATGGATAGGGACTGGATATGGTGGACGGTGGATAGTGACTGGATATGGTGGATGGTGGATAGGGACTAGATGGATGGATGGTGGATAGGGACTGGATGGATGGTGGATAGGGACTGGATGGATGGATGGTGGATGGATGGATGGATGGATGGATGGATGGTGGATAGGGACTGGATGGATGGTGGATAGGGACTGGATGGATGGATGGTGGATAGGGACTGGATGGATGGATGGTGGATAGGGACTGGATGGATGGATGGATGGTGGAAAGAGACTGGATGGATGGATGATAGGGACTGGATGGATGGATGGTTGATAGGGACTGGATGGATGGATTGTGGGAGGACTGGATGGATGGATAGGGGGGTGGATGCAGTGAAATGTTTGAAAGGAAAATTTGAACCAGTGATGCAGATAGGAAAGTGTTTAAGGTGAGCAGAGGATGGTCTCACCTCTCCCCCCCTCCTTCCTCACCCTCCCCATACACCAACACCGCTCTTCCCTCCCTCCTCACTGTCTTCCATATGCCAAGAGTCCCAAGAGTCATCAGTAAAGGTAAAGTGCAGTTAAATGTTCACTTATTTATTTATGGTTTATATTTATTCCTGATTGTTTTGTGTGAAAAATGAGTAGTATTATGTATAAAAAGTATTTTTAAGTTAATATTTTTGGGGGCGTGGAACGGATTAATTCAATTTACATTACAGTACTTTTTATGGGAAAATTAGTTTTGATTGACAAATTTTTGGTTATATAATGAACTTTAGTTCAACTTAAGTCATATACATATGCTTAATGTGTTACTTCAGAAATTCACAGTACAATACAGAACATTAAATCTCCAAGCTTCATCTTTCCATCCATTTTTGACAGGTAGCAAGTTGATGATTTTTCATTTTATTTTATTCCTTTGTATTTTAACCACTTAAAACTGTCTCAGACAATATGACTATAAACTATCTCAGACATTATGACTATAATAAGGAAGTTATTCTCATTGTTTAAGACACTACAGTGCTGACAATATTAGTGACTAGTTCAAATTAATGGGAATTTTTATTATTGTTTAGGAGATTGTTTAACCCAAAAGAATACCAGATAACACTTGTGTAACACCTCCAACACTGACTCATTTTGTATTACCACACAAACACACCTCTTTACACCAAAGCCTTAATACATTGGGGTTCAGTTTGTGAACCTATCATGTGCCTCTGTAACCATTTCCACTACTACTCAGAGGATGGGTCTTGGGTACATAATAAATGACTTAACTGAACCTTAATAGCAGACAAAGATTTAACTTTCCACACACAATGCTCAAAGCCTTATTCGTGCTCTTAATATTTTCAGGTTAATTAATGGCCTAATGTTTACATCTATTTAAATCTTATAATTTATTTGAGCCTTTAGCACAAATCATTAAGTCATGCTGTATAATTGTTACAATTTATTTTCTAATTATCAAGTTAAATTATTGTGAATATAATAATTTTAATACTGTACCATATAACTAACGTCCTTGATATACATGTACAATGTTTCTTTGACAAATATGTTTGCACCTTAGACAATTGCTTGAGCCATCTTTCATCATCTCCGTTATTCTTCACATTGTGCCCAGGCTTCCTCAGCTTGCATGAAGTACTTGGAAGCCAGTTTACCTTTCATGGCTTCTGTTGCTAGTTCTGCAGCCCAACTATACAGTTCTCCTGAAAGAGAGAGATTTATCAGCACTGCTTTACATGTGTGTGTGTAAGTGACATTTTTCTAAGTGTTCTGTATTATGAGCATCTGAATACTGTACTATGTTATGACATTCAAACACCTGAGATAAGTAACATGAAGTCAACAAAAAAAGAAACGAGCAAGTTTGATCAGACAGTACACCTATGTAAAATGCATGTCAAAATAAGATGGAGAAAAAGATATAAAAGTATTAAAGCACAAGCAGGTAGTCCTTTAATAGCCTACTGGAGACCAGAGGCCAAAACCTGGCCCCTTACAGATGCACAGGGAGCAGGGGATTCATGATCACCATCACTAAAGAAACAAACCCCTAGAAAGGAAGTGAAGCCAGAACCCCCAGAAAGGAAAACTCCTGTTTTCACAGATAGTAAACACACATTGCAGTATATGATCCACCTAGTATTTAGGTCATACCCTCCTTAGTAACTAGTGGGCACTTCCAGTTGGCAGCACCATGGGAGCTGCTGGCCCCCATGTCAACAATCCAGTCCAAAGCCTAAGAAAATTAATTGTTGCACTTGGTTCGGAGGGGGAGGGCAGGGCCCAGAGAGCTAACGAGCCCCCCCGATCCCCCTCCCCTTTCACAGAAAGAGGCATTTTAATTTTATTACATTCAGTGTTGATTTTCTGGACAGGCCAAATGCCCTGAAAATGCAACCCGTTCTCGCAAATTAAATAAGTCAATATTGACTTATTAAATATGTGCATAGGTGACATACTTAACATAATAGATACCCTTAAAGAGATTCATAGAAAACACCGACCTTACCTAACCTACTTAGTATGTTAAGATAAGCATCTTATTGCTTCGTAATTACAATTATTACCTAACCTATAATAGGTATAGGTTCAGTAATAATTGTAATTACTAAGCAATAAGATGCTTATCTTAAGATACTAACAAGGTTAGGTAAGGTCGGTGTTTTCTATGAATCTTTTTAAGGGTATCTATTATGTTTAGTATATCACCTATGCACGTAGTTAATAAGTCAATATTGACTTTACGAATTTGCGAGAACGGGTTGGAAAATGAGAGACCAGGACAGCACAAACTCAATGGATACCAGGAACACTGACCAGGTAACAAGCCATCAGGACACTGTTAGACCTCCAAAACCCACAGGTCCAATCCAGTCCAATCATCCCAAGATATACAGTGGAATCTCCGTGGAATCTCGGTTGACGAATGTTCCTCTTTACAATTTTTTCAGTACAGTATACGAGGTCAATTTCCTCGTAAAATTTGACTCGCTATTCGAAGGGTCCCTCGGATTTTGAGTTTGTTGATATATGTATGGGTCAACGAAGGCGTGGCTCTGATGGGCATGGGGCGAGGCGCACTCAGTTCACCAGTGGATCCCGCCTAGTGACGACCGTGTTTGAATTCTTTGTGAAGAATTTCATTGTTTTCTGCTTTTTTGGTTTCTGAATATAAAACCAACATTGAATGTAATGAAGTACCATTTTCTAGGCGAGCCCTGGAGGCTCCCTGAGAAAAAACAAACTGACATGTGCCATATTAGTTTGGTGCCATCAGTCCATGGAGTTCAAGTGCTTATCGGGGGCCCACGAGCCAGAACCTGGCCTCCCTCAGAGAGGCGCAGGGAGCATTGGCCATATGAACTCTCACAATTTAGAGTTTGTCATTTCTGCCGTCGACTGGGGAAGGCACCCAGAAAGGTAGGCGAACCATTACAAACTTCTAACTTGTTAAAACTGCAACCTACTTCTGAACAGAGGACCAGGACTCCCCCCCCCCCAACAGAAATCAGTGAAACAAGCAACACATCATCCAACTAGTGCGCCTGCTCGTTATTGCCTCACCCTCTCCTAACAGGGGGAATGGGGGACCCCACTCAGGTGAGCAGGCTGCACCACCCTCAATTCAGAGAATGATAAAACCTTCGACCTGAGGGAGGGAGGGAGGGTGTCAGTGAGCCTTTGGGGGCTCACCCAGAAAATGGCATTTCATTACAGTCAATGCTGGTTTTCTGGGGGCTTCCTGAAGATATCTGCCCACAGATAAGTAAAAACAGGGACTTACCTGAGAGGTGGCAGCACCACAGGTCTCACGATGAAGATGAGACAACTGGCTGTGACAGACGTCCCAAGGCAACATAAGGTGGCAGAGGGCTGGGACGTTAACAAGATATCTGGCAGCCAGGACCCTGTTCGATTTCAAAATTCCTGCGCCCTGATATCGACCCAAGACATATTTCCAAAGATGGCAGCAAAAGCTGCATACTTCCGCACATCATGGGCACGAGGGTAGACCACAGGCTGGCTAGACTTGATAACCCTGCAAACAACCTGAGACACATGTACCCTGGAACAGGAAACCGGGTCCACCCAGAGCGAGTCTACTCTCACTGAACCAGTAGCTCACAGGTAGTGACAAAGCTGCAACCGGACATAACATATGATGCACCTGCTTGATACCTGATGGGGTTGATGGGGTTCTGGGAGTTCAACTGACCAAGCCCAGCCTGAGGCAAGGCTTGACTTGTGAGAGCTTGGTCCACCAAGGTGTTGCTTGGAGCAGCTCACAGGCCCACATATACACCACACCCTCAGCCTAGCCAACCAAGTGTCAACAACCCAAGACTTCTTCAGAAACCAGCCGTCTCATTCTTTGCTAGAAAAGGAGTAGGCTATAAACGAACAAAACGAGCCCCAGGGCTAAAAGAGCAGAAATCCCCTGCGCCGGAGAAGAGCACGAAGCTCCTTCACTCGACCCCCCAGAGGCTAAAGGCAACAAAAACAAAAAACTGAGAAAAAAATCCTGGACCAAAGGGGTCACAACAAACTGAGGAGAAGAGAGAAACGAAACCACCCGGTCCAAAGACCAAGAAGGTTCGGGTGGAGCATGAGCAGGATGGAGATGAAGAAACGCACGAGAGAGCTTGTGGAACAGAGCAGAAGTGACATCCACCCCGAACACAAGCTGGAGTGGCTCCGCCAGCGCAGCACGATAAGAATCGACAGTATTCCGTATAAGACACTGGTCTTGAAAGAGCCATGAAAGGGCAAAACAATTGGGACACTGACAAAATCCTACAAAGGGAAAGGAAATGGTGGTAAGACTGCCAGGAGATACTGTCCCTAAGAAGACGACCACCAGTGGGACACTATTAGAGAAGCCACCTGATCACCATACAAGTGGTGATACACCCGTGTCAGATAAACCAGATGTGAAGAGCGGAAGAGTAAGTCGAACCAGCGAGGTTTCTCACTGGCCCAACCTGTGAAAAGAGTCGGAGCAAGGGTTCGGACACCGAACAAGTAGCACCTGAAACCAAGGATGGGCCAGACATCATGGGGCCAAGAGAAGCACCCTCCCCTGGTATGATTCGAGCCGAGCCAGAACCCAAAGCAACAGCTGGACCGGTGGATATATATACAGAAACCCCTACCTCGAGCAGTCCTGCCGGAAAGTGTATACTGTACTGTGAAGGCCTCACAGTTAGGGAATGGCACCACATTCAATGGGAGATGCCGAGACCACGCCAATGCAAAGAGGTCAACCTTTGTACGTCCGACAAACCCATAGGAAGGAGGTGGTGTCAACCATCCACTCCGTGGAAGGGGGAATGAAGTGCAATAGGCCATTTGCCAGGACATTGGATACTCTCTGAATATGAACAGCGCGGAGAGCTAAACACCAAGAACTCGGCAGAAGAGCTACCCGAAGCAACCAGCCCCAAAGAGACATGGACTGCAGAGAACCCCCCCCCCCTGGGTTGAGACAATGAACCACAGTGGAACAGTCCGAATGGAGCTATCTTGGGGTTATCTTGAGATGATTTCGGGATTTAGTGTCCCCGCAGCCCTGTCCTCAACCAGGCCTCCACCCCCAGGAAGCAGCCCGTAGCAGCTGTCTAACTCCCAGGTACCTATTTACTGCTAGGTAACAGGGGCATCAGGATGAAAGAAACATTTTGCTCATTTGTCTCCGCCTCCACCGGGAATCGAACCCAGAACCTCAGGACTACGAATCCAAAGCGCTGTCCACCCAGCTGTCAGGCGCCCAGTAGAGCCTTGAGGAAGCTGAATATGCTGCAACGCCAGCCACACAGGTGCAAACTCCCGCACCGTGTTGTGAGCCCAGGCAGACAAAAAGCCAGGTTACCCAAAAGGTGCACAAGGGTATGGAAGCCAAGACCACCCTAACATCAGCCAGAGTGTGGAGGCACAGCTGCAACATGGCCACATATGAGAGAGAAGGGAAGGCCAGTCTGGCAGCCTAATTAGGTTCAGGCCAGCCAGATACCGAGACACCAACTGGGTTCCTCAGGTGTCTGTACACAGTCTGGTTTGACATTGCGTCTCAAGGAATGCAGCACCAAATACAACCTGGTGTCTACTGTATTCATATTACAATCTGTTGAAGAACTTCAAGATACCATGATGCTTACTCTAGTACATAAGAATAAAATTAAGGCACCAATAAGTTATCTCCTTACTAGGATTACACGATAACATAATCTTAACATCTTTACCACTATAAAGTGCTTACCAGCTTTATTTGGGTCCTTTTGAAGGCCTTTACCCCCAGTTAAATACATGAGTGCTTGTTTAGCCACCAGCTGATACCGAGGATCATCCATCATACTATCAAAGTTACCCTCTTCATCAACTGTATCAGTGTTTATCACTTTATCCAGCCAGTGCACTGCCTTATTCCAGTCAACAGTCCTGAAAATACCAAAGGATGCATTTCAAAATAATGAGTCAAATGCTCTTTCTATGCAACTAACATAAGAGACCTTATATAATATTTAAGCCATAATATATGCATCGATTAGTACATTATGGAAACATTTTATTTAAATTGTATGAATCAAAATACTATAAATTACCACCTGGAGGGAGGAAGGCCAATGCCTGTCTCGTACAACTTGGAGATATGGATCATAGCACCACGGTCGTTTGCTTCTGCAGCCATCAACATATAGTCAAACCCTACTTCAGCGTCACACTTTTCTTCTTCAAACTGAAGGTAAGAGAGATAAGCAAAATCATAAAGCATTCCTGTGGCAAATACATCATTTAAGAGCACTCAATAAAATTATTTTATTCTACTGTGCCTTCCTTTTCAGAATTTTTTTTAGAAAGGGAGAGCAGACAAATGTAAAACAGAATTTTACATATTTTATAAATTCATGAAAAGTAAATTGCAGGTAAAGGATAAAATTCAAAGGTTGATAATGGGGAACAAATTTATAGAAAATGAAAATGAAATATGTTTAACAATAAATGAACAATTCCAATTTCAATTGGGGCCGCCTCCTGGTCTGGTGCATTGCCCTCGGAGGTGTGTTCGTCGTCTGCATTGTTGAAGCTGTTCGCGTCACTCCTGCAGGATGCGGTTTTGCAGCTTTTTGCTTTTCGACTCGCGTGTCGGCAGGCGGTGCTTCCTTCTTCCTTGGAATCCACTTGGGGTCCTGGCTCTTAGGTTGTCTTCGCCTTTTTGTTCACTGCTGTTTGCATAGTCTGTGGTTGTGCAGTATCAGCAAGCAGCTTTGGCTAGTTGCCGTCCTATGTCTGACTTTTTAGTTCTCTGGGGGGCTCGTGGGGGGGCCTTCCTCAAAGGGTCGTGCAAGGGTTCTTCCCGTCATGGTAGGCCAATGGTGCCAGATTCAGGGCGGGCGAAGTCTTCTGTTCCGTCTTCTTCTGGTCGGCACAGGGATCCCCCTGCTGTGCCCACTTAGGTTCTCGTAAGGTTCGTCCCATTTACGGGGCGATGGGGGGGGGGAAGGTTCACTCTGTTCGCTCACGCCTGGTCTCATGATTTGTGGGCTAGGCACTTGGATGGTGTCCCTGGACCTCAAGAATGCGTATTTGGCACGTCCCGATTCATCCAAAGTTCAGAGACTGACTAGATTTTGTTGTGGGGCGTCAAGGTTACCGCTTTCGTTGCCTTACATTTGGCTTGAATCTAGTACCTCGCATTTTCACACACCATACTCGGATCATGGTGACCCACCTGTGTCTGTTAGGTGTTCGGGTTCTGGCCTTCCTCGACAACTGGCTGGTTTGGGCTACCGGCCAGTCTGCATGTCTGCTCGCCAGGGATTTGGTTCTTTCCCAGCTTGCCGGGTTCGGGTTCTTGGTGAACTGGCGGAATTCCCATCTGGTTCCTTCTCAGGTTCAGTCTTGGCTGGGGCTTGTGTGGGATGCTCGGACTGCTTCTTTGTATCTTCCTCCGGTGGCCCTGCTTCGCCTGTGTTCCCGCCTTCGCCTGAGGGGTTCCCGGGTCACGTGCCAGTTGCCCGAGTGATTGTGAAGTAGCCTGCACTCTACCTTGACAGTCTACCTGCCGGGTCGGGTGTGGCTTTGTCAGCTGTTCTGGTTTCTTCAGGGACGTCCTTTAAGCCTCTCTCGCGTCTGCTGGGTTCGGCCTCCAGGCGCTTTGTATTGGCTGCTGCATCACCGGCTTCCTCTTTGGGTTTTTCGGGGTTCAATGCCTTTGTGCCTATCTGAGCCCTCGCTCGATGTGTTCATGGACACATCGTCTCTGGGCTGGGGCTTTGTGACCAATGCTCACCAGGCCGGCTAGGGACGGTGGGGTCCGTCCTTCTGTCAGGCCCACAGCACATTGCGGGAATTCGTGGCTGTGTGGATGTCGCTCCAGAGGGTTCGGGTCACTCGTGGATCGACGATCCGGCTCCATTCGGACTGTTCCCCTGTGGTTCATTGTCTGAACCAAGGGGGCGGGGGGGGGGGGTTCAACGGTCCTTAGCTCCTTGGGACTGGTCGCTTCGGGTGACTCGTCTGCCAAGTTCTTGGGGTTTGACTCTCCTGGCGGTTCACGTTCGTGGGGTGTCCAATGTCCTGGCGGATGAGCTGTCCCAATTCATTCCTCTGTCCACGGAATGGATGGTCGACACCAACTCATTCAGTTTTCTCTGCAAGACGTTTGGGTCTCCGGAAGCGAGTCTCTTCGCGCTGGCGTGGTTGAGGCATCTCCCGGTATACGTGGCGCCCTTCCTCGACTGCGAGGCCGTCGAGGTCGATGCCTTCAGGCAGGACTGGGTGAGGTGGGGTTACCTGTATCTCTTTCCCCCGGTTCAGCTGTTGCTCTGCTCGCTTAGAGACTTACCAAGGGAGAGTTGTCCTTCTGGCTCTTTGGTGGCCGGCCCAGCCTTGGTTTCAGGCACTGCTTGCTTGGTGTCCGAACCCAAGGGTTTTCCTGCGGCTCGGCTTTCAGCAGATCAGTCCAGCCAGTACAATGCTGGTTGGTTATTCTCCTCGAGTCTTCGCATCTGGGGTTTTGGCTCGTGGTACCCAGTAGGCAAGAACTCTGCACTTTGACTGATGCCAGAAAGCTAATAGTTACTTATCAGCCTGGATAGGTCCGGGGAGCCTCCGGGTCTCGCCCAGAAAATGGCGTCTCATTACATTCAACGCTGGTTTTATGTGCAGTACTTATTTATTAATTTTTGGTATTACTGAACTATTTATTTTAAATAAAAATTCTAAATAGTCTAGAAGGAACCAGTCACTTCCCATTAATTTCTATTAAGACTAAATCGAGGCTAATGTTTGGAAACACATTTTAAGCTAAAGTATTTTTAATGAGATGAAATGCTTTGAGCCAATTATTGGTGATTGAGTGTTTACCACATACCTCGACATCTGGCAGAATGTCATGCTGTAAGCCAAGATGGAGATGTGCTATAGCTTTAATGGCTTCAAGAATGCCACATTTGGCTGCTTGGTTCAAATGAAAAATAGCTGCTTCTTTATCATAAGATTCAGTTTCCTTTACAAATCTATTTAACTCATGATATTTGGCAAGATCCAAATGTATCTGAAATAGAAGGGAGAGAGAAATTAGTATATACAGTATATTGTAAGACTGCAAGTTACCTTATCAAGGACAAAGGTTGAAGGGAGACAATAGTGAGTCACCCCCCAACAATCACTTATTACAAAAGAAACCCTAATTTGTATTCTGAAATGATTGCTCAGTGACTGAACTACTAACCAGAATAGCTATATGGTATCACCCCACATATAAAGCAAATAGTAAGGAGTTAGCCCCACATTTTCAACATTTCCCACCCAAGCAAGTTCAGGAAAAGGCAGGAAAAACTACCATTGAATGTAATGAAATGGCGATTTTTGGTCGCGTCACAGAGGCACCCTGATACTAGCTTACTGAGTAAGTACCATACTACTTGGAGTCATCAATCAGAGAGTTCTTGTTTGCCTACCGGGGACTACAAGCCAGAACCTGGCCCCCCTCACAGAGATGCTGGGAGCAATGGCCCATAAACAGTAAAGTTTATCATCTTGCCATCAACCGGAGAAGCACCCCTGAAAGGTAGGCAAATCAAAACAGACTACTGCATGGTTGCAAAATTAAGATTAATACTCTTAAAATATCAAAAGAATTCCCCAATAAGAAAACAAATCAAACTTCGCTTGACTAATGCCAGGGTCTAATACATTCATATCAGCCCGAATAGCTCCAGGGAGCTGTAGGGGAGCTGTAGGGTAGTTGTAGGGGCTCTCCCCTCCCCCAGAAAAATTTTCTCTTCTTATAATGTGAAATGATGGCAATTTCCTGTGTCTCTGATCACAGGAAACTAATATAAAATATTGTATATGACATACATTAGCCATGATGGAGTTGAGAAGTTGAGTAAATTATGGGTGCTGAGCGACGAAGCGCTCTCATTCACTTGACCCCGCCACCCCGTAGGGCGGCAGTTGCCATGAATATAATTTTTCATGATTATTTTGATGTTTCTCATTCGTTTCTTCTGTTTTTTTCTGTAATATTATTCAAAAGTGTGTAGTTTATGGAATCTATATAGTTCAATGTGTGGAACATCACTATGCTCAAAATTATGGGGCTCATGTATGTGACATGTATATTACATTCTATGATCAAACAGTGTATTTGCTGTTATTACACTATATACACAAACATTGTATATACCTATTTACATATGTGTTCACCATAACGAACCACTAAGTTAGTATGGCGAGTCCAAACAACGAGAGTGGCCGCCACACACCAGCTAGCAGACGCCACCTCGCCTCCCTCCTTCACCAACACCTCACTCGGCAACATTCCTCCTCCCAACATACTCTTTTTGCTGTTATTACACTATATACACATGTTATATATAAGTATCTACATATTTGGTTAACCATAACTGTACAACTAAGCTGATATGGTGCCCAAACAGCATAGTGGCCACCCTACACAGCATGACAAGTCACACACCAGCCAGTAGATGACCCCACCTCCCTCACCAAAATGGCTCCTCTCAACATACTCCTTTTGTTGTTATTACACTATATACACACATTATATATAAGTATCTACATTTGTGTTCACCATAGCAAACCACTAAACTGGCAAGGTGAGTCTAGATAATAACAGGCTGCCACACAGTCAGCAGATGACGCTACTTCCCTCCCCACCAAGATTACTCCTACCACCATACTACGCACAGCGCTAATTATCACCACAATCCTGCTATTATTAGAATCCTGGTCATTTATATCAGTCAGGGGTCTTCTGTAATACAGTACTATCATCACAAAATAATAACAGTTACAAGTATATGTTGACATTTTTAGGCAATGCTGTGGTCACAAGCTGAACAGCAGTGCTGTTAGTTTATGCTGCGTGCCCCATCCAAGGTTGCTCACCGAGTACCGAGGCTCTCACACCCGGGAATGTTACCCACAATTATTTGTTTAAATGGCATCTGTTTACAGGAGTCCTGAGACACAGGATGTGAGCCCCGTGTACCCGTGGGAGTTCTGAATCGCTCCTTATACCTAAAAATGCCACATGGATGCTCTATGCACCCCTCGAACAAGTGCCTCAAGGTGCTCTGCGCACTGCAGTGGTTAATGTAAAAAAAAAAAAAAAAACAGCGTTAAATGTAATGAAACGCCATTTTCTGGGCGAGACCCGGAGGCTCTCCGGAGCTTACTAGGCTGATATGCTAATGTCAAACTTTGGCATCAGTCGTGTGTATGGAGCTCTGTGGGCCTACCGGGGACCACGAGCCAGAACCTGGCCCCCTCAGAGAGGCATGGGGAGCAATGGCCTATAGTAACCCTCGTGTGGTTGGAAGCATTCTATGTCTGCCATCGACTAGGTCAGGCACACAGAAAGGTATGCGCCCCAAAACTAACCACTATTCTGGTGAAAATATTGTTACCAAAAGCCGAACAAGTGGATAAAACTCCCCTGAAAGAAACGGGCAAAAGGCCCCTGGAGTTTTGAAGATTGCTCTTTGGATAAGGTCTAGGCCTAGCTGTTATTTACTGAAGACGCCAAAATCCTAGGCCTAGTTCCAGTTGATTGGATGTAAATCTAGAAAAGGGGGTAGAGCTTCTGAGGGCAAAGTAACTTTGGGGTGGAGCTGTTACGAACCCAAGTTCATCGTCAGAGCACGGAGCAGTGACATCAACGCCATCTGTGAGTCCGCTCCCGAAACCCCCCCACAACATGGACAATGCCATCTAGTGATGACGGGAATATACCGGCAAGAGGCGCTAGATTCCTGTCCTAGTCGGCTCATGAGGTAGCTGGTGCTGACCTCTAGTGAGGTGGTGTTTAGAAAAGCAGCCCCATCTTTCATCAGCAGAGTTGGATGTATGTATCTAAGCCAGTAAGTGATGTTTCCTAGTGGTCCCATGTAGTGCCCCAGTGTACTGATGATGTGTCTGTATTCACAGAGTCGATGTAGGGCTACTGTTATACAAGGACAGGCAGTCTACCCAGGGCAGCCAAGGTCTCTACATCAGTCTGCTTTACAGAAGCAGTGAGCCGTCGCCGGAAGAGAACTGTGGAGTGTTCAACTGTCTGCCTGTGGAGTGGCAGTGACGGGATTCGCCATACCCAGGGCTGGCTAGTAGCAGAGACAACTGACTGAGGTGCCGAAGAGGAGAGTAACCAGTGAGTTGCACAAAACTCCTGCCTAGGGCCCGCTACCCTAGTATCTGCAAGTGAAGTAGCCCAGCAGCGTGAGGCTGATTGGTACCTGCCAGCACCAGGCTGGACTGTGGTTGTGGGCCTTCACGAAGAGGCACTTAGTGGGATTGTGGTTTGGCTGGCCCATGGCCAGGGTAGACTCATTTTCCCGGTACTTGCTGAGAGTAGTACCACGGATGAGGAAACACGGTACAAGACTGCATGGATTGAGCTTCGCCGAGTGTTTAGTGTCTTCTGAGAGAGACGTTGGTGTACATATAGTGTAGTAATACTTCCTTTTAAGAGTTATATATATATTTATGTGGTGATGGGAAAATAATTATATATGGATAAAGTGATGAACTGTTGTGTTTAATGTACCTTCCCTTTTGTGTTACTTGCATTACTGAGCTCACCCCTTGAAAGTCACTACTAACTTGGGGCCGGATACCAGAACTTTCGTAATCTAGAAAAGAACCCGGTTGCATCCCATTGAGGCCGTAACAGGAGCCTAGACTTCACCTTGAAAGTTGCTAGAGTCAAAGATTTCAGTGTGAACTGGGAGTGCAAACGAGGGGATGGGCTGATGGACCAACAGGCCACAACATCGGCTGAGTAGAGCAGTAGGAATTTGCATTATAAATAAATTTACTATTAACTGTGTCAAGTATTTGTACATTTTCTTTAATTAATATCACAGATGTAGATCTTGAATTGTTTTGGACATTACCTGTGGTCCTATGATCCTTTTATAAGTATATATATTCTCTCTGTAATTCATGAAGCCATGGTAGATTGAATTCCATTAACCCAGTAAGTATCAAAAGGTTCAGGTCTCCAAGTCACTGGTGCTAGTTGACTAGTCTCCTCCCGAGTCAATTAGCTTAATTCTTAAAGCTAGATAGAGTTGTGGTGGCATTTATGTTATGTGAGTAACCTTATTAACCATCCAGACTAATCGATTGCAGAGATATCTTTAACACCTTGGTCATTACTCCTCTTTTTCCCTAATAATTGGGGTGAGTATCTTCTGCTGTGAGGGCATACTCTTTCCAGTTCTCATGGGGTTATAAAGTACAATTATTTTATTATTACAATTATTATTATTTTGTAACCCTATTTTTACAAAATAATAGCAAATGTTATAATAGTTGTTACAATAGTAGCAGCAGTTGTTACAGAGCCCAAGAAATTATAATGCTAGGTCATCCAAGCTAATGCTCTTTATACATTTTTGTTTGTTTGTCTTGATCACATTTGCTGACTCGCAGCTTATTTCCCAGATTTTAATATCTTTTCAATATTTGTCCCTTGCTTTCTAGAACTGCTCTTTGTATATTTATGGTAACTAGGACACCACTTCTGCACTCCATTGCCAACCGAGAAAACACCTTTTGAATATTTCGTACCCATTCAAAACACGTGCATGGTAGGTTGTGTACCAAATGGACTCTTAGGACCCCCAGTGAGAGGCATCCATCTTGGCAAAAATTCCCAGAATGTCCTAGGGCTGCTGGCTAGCTTAGTACTGAGTGAGCAACCATGGGTGGCGCATGCGTCTCTGGCTCCCAAACACCTGTCTGACGTGGTGTTGAAAGATTGCGCTCTGTCGGTGAAATTCAGACCTTATTGTTTGAAGAACATAAGGGGTCATGATATTGATGAAGCTAGGTGCAATAAGGACCTAACACAAAGGTCGGATGCAAGTGATACAGCACCGATGAGGATGATATAGCAAGCGTATCTAGTTGTAGCTTTGAGCGCCACTCTTGCCCACCCATGCCATCTCCAATTTTTATAGATGATACATAGATGAATCGTTTTCTGGGTTCAGTGATGATGCATCTGATACAAGTAGCATAGATGAACAGTGTTAGCGGCTTCCATGGTGGTGTTTTCCATAGATATTTTCAAGAATAGCTGAATCTCTTCCAGAATGGCTGAATCTCTTCCTGATTGACTGAATCTCTTCCAGAATGACTGAATCTCTTCCAGTGAGGGACCTTACAAAGCGATCTTTTCAAGACTACCTTACAAATTGATCTTTTCCTATAATCTTTTCAAGACTACCTTACGCTTCACAAGCTTGGCTACATACCACCTACAGGTACTAAAGCCAAGGGTGTACGTGAGTGCGTTATTTGCAAGCACACAGAACGAAGAAACAGGAAGCGAAAATCTATCTGTACCTGGTGCAACGAGAGCGAAGTTGCGCTGTGTACCATGGACTGCTTCGTTGATTATCACTCACTTCCGAAGTACTGAGTGTGTAATACAGTGTGTTACTGTGTAAATAGTGTGTGAAACTGTACATATTGTAATTTTAGTGAATTTTTAACAAGTAATATTGCGACAATAAACATTTATTGTGGACACATTACTGACACATGTATCACAGTTCCATGGAACATTATGAACATTCTACTGTATACATATTGTAAAGGACACAAATATGCATCATATACGATAAAAAAAACAAATAAAACCGCATTGGAAATACATAGAACAAATAATTGAAAATATATTTGTGGCAACTCGCGGTGCTTGAATGGCGAGCGCAACCGTCTCTGGGAGCTTCACGCACGGGCAACCAGCCCGTGACGCCCCCTTCTCCACGTCCCCACAGCCAAAGTAGGTGGAATTTTTTTTTTTTTTTTACATGTATGTGTTCAGGGAAGGGAATTTATCATTTTACAAAGATTAAAAAATTTTTTGCGAACACTTGATTTTATGTGCACAGGGGGAATGTCACAATAAACTCGGCGCATCACAGTGGTTAAAGAGCGACAAACAGCCCCAAGTCTGGGGTCAATATAACCAAAATGGGGCAGCAACGGGGCTTTCTGGTCAGCAACCAACCTAGCGCGTTGCAGCAATCTAACCTAGCATGAAACGCCTGAGCTGCCTGCACCTGAACAGTCATTAGTGGACTGGGTGTATTTAGTCACAGACAAGCAACAAAACTTGCAGGACTCTGGGTTGAAGGTGTCACCGACCCAGCAGACAGCATGACGGAGGCAGTAGAGACAGAAGAGAACACCCTGAGAAAAGGGGACAGAGCAACCTTCAAACTCGCACAAAGCGAGAGGGGACTCAGGAGACACATCCATTAGACCCAAGAGTCCCCACGGGGTTTCCCAGGACCCTTGGACTAGTATCGTTAAGAGAAGCCCAGGCAGGGTACTGTGAACCGGCACCCAAGACTATCAACAAAACTGCTAAAAGCTGAACCCCTGGGATGTATCCACGCACGGGGGCCTAGCAGGTGGACCACCTGCTAGGTCCAGATGGAGTTTCACCATGGGTTCTGAGAGAATGTGCACCTGAGCTCAGCATTCCTCTTCAACTGATTTTTCAGGCATCCCTGTTTACAGGAGTTGTAGCTGATGTGTGGAAAAAGGCTAACATAGTTCCAATCTACAAAAGTGGAAGCAGGGAAGACCCCCTTAATTATAGATCGGTATCATTGACAAGTGTAATAGTCAAAATATTGGAAAAAATAATTAAATCTAAATGGGTAGAACACCTGGAGAGAAATGATATAATATCAGACAGACAGTATGGTTTTCGATCTGGAAGATCCCGTGTATCGAATTTACTAAGTTTCTATGATCGAGCAACAGAGATATTACAGGAAAGAGATGGTTGGGTTGACTGCATCTATCTGGACCTAAAAAAGGCTTTTGACAGAGTTTCACATAAGAGGTTGTTCTGGAAACTGGAAAATATTGGAGGAGTGACAGGTACGCTTCTAACATGGATGAAAAATTTTCTGACTGATAGAAAAATGAGGGCTGTGATCAGAGGCAATGTATCAGACTGGAGAAATGTCACAAATGGAGTACCACAGGGTTCAGTTCTTGCACCAGTGATGTTTATTGTCTACATAAATGATCTACCAGTTGGTATACAGAATTATAATAACATGTTTGCTGATGATGCTATGATAATAGGAAGGATAAGAAACTTAGATGATTGTCATGCCCTTCAAGAAGACCTGGACAAAATAAGTACATGGAGCGCCACTTGGCAAATGGAATTTAATGTTAATAAATGCCATGTTATGGAATGTGGAATAGGAGAACATAGACCCCACACAACTTAATATATTATGTGAGAAATCTTTAAAGAATTCTGATAAAGAAAGAGATCTAGGGGTGGTTCTAGATAGAAAACTATCACCTGAGGACCACATAAAGAATATTGTGCGAGGAGCCTATGCCACGCTTTCTAACTTCAAAATTGCTTTTAAATACATGGATGGCGATATACTAAAGAAATTATTCACGACTTTTGTTAGGCCAAAGCTAGAATATGCAGCAGTTGTGTGGTGCCCATATCTTAAGAAGCACATCAACAAACTGGAAAAGGTGCAAAGACATGCTACTAAGTGGCTCCCAGAACTGAAGGGCAAGAGCTACGAGGAGAGGTTAGAGGCATTAAATATGCCAAAAACTAGAAGACAGAAGAAAAAGAGGTGATATGATCACTACATACAAAAAAAATAACAGGAATTGATAAAATCGATAGGAAAGATTTCCTGAGACCTGGAACTTTAAGAACAAGAGGTCATAGATTTAAACTAGTTAAACACAGATGCCGAAGAAATATAAGAAAATTCACTTTCGCAAACAGAGTGGTAGACGGTTGGAACAAGCTAGGGGAGAAGGTGGTGGAGGCCAAGACCGTCAGTAGTTTCAAAGCGTTATATGACAAAGAGTGCTGGGAAGACGGGACACCACGAGCGTACCTCTCATCCTGTAACTACACTTGGTAATTACACTTAGGTAATTACCAAGAACAGTAGGGGGCAACCAAAACCAAGGGCAGAACCCCCCACCAGGCAGGAAACAAAAACAAAAGAAAAACCCACAAGAGGACAACATACCCAGGCGGAACAGAGCTGGCCGCTATGAGAGGTGAAAACTAGCTGTGCAGAATCCTGCGGCCCTACCAGTGCAAACTACCCCTACCCAAAGGCAAACAAGGGTGAATGAAACATCCTCAGCACACTAAGGGCAGTCAATCACCAAGCAGCAAAAGACCAAGGTGAGGTAGATCCCAAGGTGACTTGTGGAAGGTGGCCCAAGCCCCAAGGGCAGTACTTACAGGAGTACCTAGGGAAGGTGACCCTAAGCACTTGCAGACCAAATACAGTACTTGTGAAATTACTCCTGGCTCACGTCCTACCAAAGAAACAGCACCACACCACAAGGCACACAGCTGGAGGACAGGAAAACAGCAGCCAGAGTCACACAACCGTTGCCAATCACATCAGCCAAAGAACTGGGGACTGGGGTCTTGGGCTTCCCCTTCCCCCTCCAGGGGACGGTGGCGCGGCATGTGGTGATGCCATGCTCATTTTCATTTGGGGGAGTTCTGTCCACTCGTTTGACTTTCAGTAGTAGTTACAACCAGAATAGGGGTTTGCTTTGGGGCACTTACCTTTTTGAGGTGCCTGACCTGGCCGATGGCAGACATAGAATGCTCCAAAATCACATGTGCATTTCTATTGGCCATTGCTCCTCATGCCTCTCTGAGGGGCAGGTTCTGGTATGTGGTCCCCGGTAGGTCTAGAACTCCATTCACATTTGACTGATGGCAAAATCTAATATATTCATATCAGCCTGAATAGCTCCGGGGAGCCGAAGGGGCTTCCCCATAAAAATCTAGGACAGTTGTAAACCAAGGTTATGCCAGGTATACAAACAATATTATATATTTTCTTGATACAGTACTGTACAAACACTGCTTTATTAAATGAGTTGCTTATCTTTTGAGTCATATCTATCATGAACACATTGATTTTTTGCCAAATAAATTACTCTACCAAAAATAGTAAAATATTATCCAAGTTCAATATATAAAAAGAATCATGTTGGACTCTGTACTGTGTAACTTTGATAGAATTAAATGGTGATTGTATGCGCTTGAAATGTATAAGACAACTCAAGAGGAATACAGTAATGTTGATGTATTCTTATGGGTTGATGGAATGATACTACAGGTAATATGCTAGAGTGGACTGTGGCTTGTTTTTTTTGGTGATGCTAAAGATTGTGAATGAGTAAGTACTTTGCATTTAACTCTTCCTAATTTACTTCTGTTGTTTTTCTGAGCTGATGCCTCCTCACCTTATGAAAATTAGAAACAGGGTAATAATAATAATCAATAATAATACTGTAATAATAATAATAATAATAATAATAGTGACATACATACCCGCAGGAGATCTTGCTCTTTGGATTCCGTGTCAGTGCCAGAGTCTGTCATAGAGTCAAGACGTATTCTGGCATTATAAGAAAACTGCCGTCGTCTTTGTTCTCGACGTGCAGAATCTACCAGGGAATCTTCACTCTCAGACATCAAGGGCAAGTCATCACTTTCCTGGAATGATGGAAATAATTTTTCAATCTTTTATAATTAAAATAAAAAAATTATAGAAGTCCTGTACTGTGATCATATTGGTCAGTGATGAATTATGTCTGGCCACAGTTGGATTGCTCCACCACATGATGGTTTGCTGCATCATTTCACACTACAGTACTTTTACTAAAGTTTTGACTGCTTTTACTTGGTCTGTTAATTTCTAATTATAGAATTTTTGGGTCTCTATACAACAGCCGAGTTCATTCTTGACTCACAATCAGGAATCCTTGGTTCGAATCCTAGGCAGGACAGAGATGATTGGGCATGTTACTTTTATGTAGTACCTCTGTTCACCTAGCAGTAAATACGTACCTGAGTCAGTCAACTGTTGTGGGTTGCACCCCAAATGAACTTTGGGGAACCTTGTTAAGCCCAATATGCATATCTATATATGTGTGTGTAAGTACCAAAGTGTAGTTACAGGATGAGAGCTACGCTCACGGTGTAACATCTTCCCAGTACTCTGTCGTATAAAACTTTGAAACTCCTGACAGTTTTGGCCTCGACCACTACCTCACTTATCTTTTTCCAACCATCTACCACTCTTGATTGCAAAAGAAAACTACTAATATTGAATATCTAATGCCCGAAATGCTACGCGTACTAGTGGCTGTACAAGAATGTAAGAACTCTTGTATATAAATACTGTAAATAAATAAATAAATAAATAATAAATATTTTTTGGCACCCTTGTTTCCTTAAATTTGTAACTTCTTGTTCTTGAGGTTGCAAGTTTCAGGAATTATTTTATTAATTTGGTAATTTCCTGTTATTATTTTGTAAGTGATCATATCACCTCTCTTTCTTCTACATTCTAGCTTTGTGTCGTCATAGTTCAGTGACCCATGATTTTGAAAGGTTCAGATTAACCCTTAACATGCTCGGGGTTTAATATCCTGTCATTCCCCACAGGCGCATGTCATTTTGGAAAAAAAAAAAAAAAAAAAAAATTCTTCCTAACCTGTTAATTTGTATTCACTGATCACAGGAAAAATAATAAAAAAATCGTAAGTGGCATATATTGCCTGCTATAGGGCGGAGAAGTCTGGCAAATTATAGGCGCTGACTCAGCGTGCGTCCCAGGCGGTCTGTTGCTCGCCAGCTGTCAGGCCAGAGTTGCCACAAAGAGATAATTACCGAATTATTTCAATGTCTCTCGATTGATTTTTCATAGTTTTTTTGCTGTAATATTATTCAATAGTGTGTAGTTTGATATACAGTATTTATATAATAAAATGAGTGAATCATTGCTGTACTCAAAAATATGGTTTGCATATTGTTGACTCAATTATGTTCATCAATCAGTGAACAAATACTTTGTTGGTTATTACACTATAAGCACAGGTTATATATAAGTATCTGCATGTTTTGTTCACTATAACGAACCACTATATAGTTATTATGAGTCAAAAAGTAACGAGGAGTGACCGCCGTGTACCAGCCAGCCACTCCCGCCCTCCCTCCAGTCATCTGACTCACCCACATTCTCCTCCCACAATAATGTTTTTGCTATAATTCACTAAATACAGACGTTATATATAAGTATCTACATGTTTTGTTCACCATAACTGTACATCTAAGCTTGTATGGTGAGTAAAGGCACAAAGACGTAGGACCTCACACAGTCAGCTGATGGCTGCCGCCCTCAAGGCCAGACGCACTAATATTTCTCCTCCAACAATACTGTGTGGTGTTATTATGCTATATACACACAATACATTTCTACCTGTTTTATTCACCATACTTGTACAAATAAACTGGTATGGTGCCCAAAGACCATCGTGGTAACCAGTAAATAACACCATCGTCTGCACGACGCCACCGCCCTCACCAAAATGGCGGCTCCAAACCTTCTCTTGCTGTTTATACCCTCTATACACACATTATATATAAGCATCTACATTTGTGTTCACCATAGCGAACCACTAAGCTGGTATGCTGAGTGCAGTCAATAAAAGGTGGCCACACACAGTCAGAAGACATCGCCACCACCCTCCCTCCCACAGCATTACTCCTCCCTCCATGGCGCACAGCGCTAAATATCACCACAATCCTGCTATTATCAGAACCCTGGTCAGTTTTATCGCAGTCAGGGGTCTTCTGTAATAATATCATCGCTACATAATAGCATGAACAAGTATATTTTGGCATTTTTAGGCGATGCTGTGGTCACAAGCTGAACAGCAGTGCTGTTAGCTCATGCTGCGTGCGTCAGGCTTGGTTGCTCACTCAATACTGAGGCCAATAACACCCGGGAGTTTGGCCCACGATTTTTTTTTTAAATGGCGTCTGTTTACAAGAGCCCTGATGAAGGTGTGGCGAACCCCGTGTATCCACGGGCCGTTTAAATCTTGCGTAGTACTCCAACACATCATATGACGTGATGCGCAGTTGACTGGAACAACGTCCAACACGTCATATGACGTGATGCACACTTTAAGGGTTAATAAATCATTTCTAAAACCGCTGCTATTGGCCCATACGCGGCAGCTGCTATTGGCCCATACGCGGCAGCTGCTATTGGCCCATACGCGGCAGCTGCTATTGGCCCATACGCGGCAGCTGCTATTGGCCCATACGCGGCAGCTGCTATTGGCCCATACGCGGCAGCTGCTATTGGCCCATACGAGGCAGCTGCTATTATCCCATACGCGGCAGCTGCTATTGGCCCATACGAGGCAGCTGCTATTGCCTATACGAGGCAGCTGCTATTGGCCCATGCGGGGCAGCTGCTATTGGCCCATGCGGGGCAGCTGCTATTGGCCCATGCGGGGCAGCTGCTATTGGCCCATGCGGGGCAGCTGCTATTGGCCCATGCGGGGCAGCTGCTATTGGCCCATGCGGGGCAGCTGCTATTGGCCCATGCGGGGCAGCTGCTATTGGCCCATGCGGGGCAGCTGCTATTGGCCCATGCGGGGCAGCTGCTATTGGCCCATGCGGGGCAGCTGCTATTGGCCTATACGAGAGTGTTTTAATAGCTTTTTATTATCCTAATTAAACTCAACTAAATAAAATCGAAAATATACTGTAATATGATAGACATCTGCTATTTGAGAAATTATTTGTTATTGGCACAACTACTCCAGTGCGAGTGGACGGGTCTAATCCTTGTACAAACAGCACCATGCGTATTTTGTTCGAGTTCTCCGCCACAGTTCAGTGACCTCGAAATAATAAAATTAATAAATCAATTCTACAATATTTTTTTATATCTCTTATTATCCTAATAATGTTACTAAAATAAATATATAACCCAAAAATATATAATTTGATATAAATCCAATATTTGAGAGGAATTTATGTTACTGGATCTGGCTTAAACACCAGCCTACTGCAGGGTGTATAGACCTAGTCTGCATTCATACAGTAGGCACCCAGTGCCATTAGCTTTGTCTGCGAGTGACGTGTTTGTCCGCCGGTGGAAGAATAATCGTGGCATTTACTGTACTGTACTATTTTTTTACTACAGCTGTATAATTATACAAGATGTCTCACGGGCTTGCTAATCGTGCTGTATCTACAAAGAGGAAGTGGAGTTTTGTATCCATTGAGTAGAAATTAGACATTATAGAGAAACATGAACGTGGCTATTTTGTTAGTAGGCTGGCAGCAGAATTTAATGTCAGGAAAAGTACGGTGTGTGATATCAAGCTCAGCTCAGCAGCAGCTGAAACCAACACAGCAGCAGCGAGCATCAGCAAAGCTGAATATTTCAAGTGTTCGAATTTATTCTTTATAAACAAGATATCAACAGATCATGCTACCTTGTAAGTGTTACAATTTTCCATTAGCCTTTTGTATTTTGTTATATTTGTTTGTAACTTTTTAATTTATTTATAATTAATTATTGGATTCAGTCTATATTTTCTCTATATTGCACTCTTAATTAAACAAAGTTCCTTACCTGTGAATCTACAGAACTGATTGAGGTAAGCTTGACTCTTGGCCTATCATCCCCAGAGCCATATCCTGAAGAGAGGGAACGCATGCGGATGTAGTCCTGAATATGTTCTTTCTCCTCCTCTGTTGGTGTTACTACTATTTCTTCAGTGCCACGAACCACTGTCTTGCAGGAGGCCTGGTGAAAAATATTAGGTCAGTACACACTAATAATGTAACTTGGGAGAGCCAGACAGTGCTACTGAAGCTCCAGTGATGCAGTACTACACGTAATGGAATAACACTTCACAGACGAAGGAAGAACACCTGTTGACCAGATCACACACTAGAAGGTGAAGGGACGACGACGTTTCGATTTGTCCTGGACCATTCTCAAGTTGATTGCGAAGAACACCTGCATAACTTACGACAATCAATTCAAAAGAACAGCACAAAGAGCCAATCACAATGTCATGACAATATAAAAATAACATTACCTTGCTAAATATAACCAACTACAATGGTTTCTTGATTGAAAGAAAATTGTTTCCACACTCTTTTTTTCATACACCCAAATTTCTGCTACATCCAGATTTTGCTACTACAGACAGCCACTTGGTTTGCAAATTAAAGTTAACTGAAAGTTAATACGCTTCACAAACTAAGTTCATTTAGTGAGGAAACGGTCCACCAGGCCTCACGCAGGCCTGAGTGGAGAGTGAGTGGGTGGGAGATGGCCTAGTTTGCCCACTGACTGTGTGGAGCGCCACCACTCACCTTCTACCCTGTGACGTCACAGTCATGGCCTATTGTTCCCATTGTTTTGATTTGTCATGAGGCTGGAGTGTTCATTCCATGACTTTGTAGACATATCTGCACAATCAAGGAACATTCGTGCACCATGTCGGTTCCAAATGCACGCATTGTGTCAGAGAAAGCATCAACAAGTGGGATATGTAAATGAAAGAAGTCAGTTATGACATTTGAGAAGAAAGTTGAAATAATTAAATAGGTGGAGAGCAGTGTCCCGAGAAATGTCGTGTGCACTAAACATGGCATTAGCAAAAGTACTGTTTTTGATCTTAAGGCTAAACCTATCATTTTTACCATTTCTCCAGAAGTGAAATTGATAAGGCAATACCAAATAGAAAGGTATTTCCAACACCCGCATATCTAGTGAACCCCTAGCCCCGACGGGGGTTTCCAGGGCCCACAGGAGTAGGTGTACCTATGGGAAGCAAAGGCACTGGTGGTGCTGCAAAACTGGTTGAACCCCATTTATTTACCAGGCAAACTGACCCCCTGGGAAGAGAGCAACCTTGGGGGCCGAGTGGAGGGCTACCGAAAGGAACCTAGGCATACCTAATGGGAAGCCAGGCAGCCCTCCAACAGGCAGAAAATAAAGGGTAAAGAATAACTGGCATGGCCGTCACTGGTATGCAAGCTGTTCAGCATCATGCGCCACAACCAGCAACAAAAACTCCCTACCTAGGGCCAAATGAAAGCACCAAGACCCCCACTGACCCTAAGGGCGAGGTCAATGCCAAGTAAAAGCAACCCTTACGGGAGTGAGAACCCAAAAGCCCCAGAGAAGATAACCCTAAGACCCAAGGGAAGTACTTGCTGGGCGCCTAGGGAAGAGAACCCTATCGCATGTAGCCCGAAGTACTGCTTACTCCTGGCCACCGCCCAACACACAGCAGGTACAACCGTCAAGGGCAAAATCCTGACAGGAAATAAAGGTTAGAGGAGACGTCAGCCCCAGCTGGCTTCAGTCGACGAACTGGTGAGCAGGCGGCCGACTCAGGTGGGCAGGGCCTCCCCCTTCCCCTTTCATGGGGGGTGGGGGCAAACGAGTGGCGCGTCGGTTTGATGACGATTTGCTTCTTACCTTGTTTTTCTTCGGGGGAGTTCTTAGGCTCTGTTCGGTTGCAATTTTCTACCAGTTGGGGCCTGTTTTGGAATGCCTACCTTTCTGGGTGCCTAACCCTGGTTGATGGCAGACATGAATATACTCTCAAAGAGTGGCATTTTCATGGGCCACTGCTTCATGCGCCTCTCTGAGGGAGCCAGGTTTTGGATCGTGGTTCCCGGTAGGCGGAACTCCATGTGACTGAAGCCCCAGACTAATATAGCTAATATCAGTCAGATAGCTCCAGGAAGCCGATGGGGCTCCCTTCAGAAAGTGACCTTCTCACAGCTTTTTATTACTTTTCTCTTCTGCACAAGAATTGTGAAATTATTTTTACATATACAACAAGTAATTTTATGACAAAACTATGGAGATATTGTATACAGCAATCTTGCAAAGGCATTTGATGAATGTGACCATGGAATAATAGCCCATAAAATGAAAGTCAAGGATATAACAAGTAAATTAGGGATGTGAATTTTAAATTTTTAAACAGATTACAAAAAGTAGCAGTAAAGGCAACAAAATCCAGCCAAAATATGGCACAATTCTTGGTCCCACAAGGTATGGTTCACACACTGCTGCTCTTCCTCACTCTCAGAGAAGACAGACAGGAATCCAAGCTGCAATTTCACGTTATTCTTCACAGACGGCACAAAATAAGTATGAAAATACTGTCCTAACCTTACCTTGTAGTTATCTAGTGGTGGTTATGAGGATCAACGTCCTCCCATACCCAATACAATGGTACATATATAGAAAACTGTCTTAATAGAATAAGACAGTTTTACTGTATATTACACTGTCTTGTTATAAATAATCTTTTGCACCGAAAAGAAATTTCTTGATAGGAAACTTATCACATGTTTAATTCAAACTTGCATTTAAGCCTATTTCCATATTTTATGTGCAAGAATGGTTTGACAAGTCTGACTACTATGAAATTATTGCTTCTACGGAAACCTCCAGAAATTATCTGTGATGGAGTGGTCGTTCCTTGAGGCTTGTGCCCTATTTGTTCTTGGTTCCAGTCTCTACCAAGGCAGTGCTAGTTTGTAATATGGTTACATATTACTACATATAATAGCAATGTTATTATTGCTATTGACTGCAATGTTATTAGCAGTCTCCGTGGTGTAGTGGTAAGACACTCGCCTGGCGTTCCGCGAGCGCTATGTCATGGGTTCGTATCCTGGCCGGGGAGGATTTACTGGGTGCAATTCCTTAACTGTAGCCTCTGGTTAACGCAACAGTAAAATGTGTACTTGGATGAAAAAATGATTCTTCGCGGCAGGGGATCGTATTCCAGGGACCTGCCCAAAACGCTACGCGTACTAGTGGCTGTACAAGAATGTAACAACTCTTGTTACAACAACTCAAAAAAAAAAAAAAAAAGGTTCCCAATAGCCTAACACTATATAATATTCCCACTAGCCTACAATTGCACAACAATGTTCCCACAATCTCATATCTTCCATTCTCCTGTCTTTCCAATAGGGAAAGATAGAATATGCAGGCGATTGTAATGCCCTTCAAATCAGTCTGGATAAAAGAAGTGCTTGGAGCGTCATGTGGCAAATGGAATTCAATGGGAATAAATGCCATGTTATGGAATGTGGAATTGGAGAAAATAGACCATACACAACATACAAATTATGTGGAAAGGAATTACAGAACTCCAATAAAGAAAAAAACTTGAGAGACTTAGGAGAATCCCTTGTGGATTTGTTCATTTGATGCATCACGCTATTGTGATTTCTGTGTGTAATGAAGTAAGGGCGAAGAGGTAGAACAGCTTATTGACAGAGCTTGAGTGCATGGGGAAATTGTGTAAAAACCTGGTTTGTGTCTCGGAGAGACTGCAGGAACCGCGGTAGGTCAAGTTGATTTCCTGGTTACAATTCTTTTACCATGTACCTCTCACAATGTTCTTTATATGTTCCTCTCTGGTGACAGCTTACTATCTAACCCCCCCCCCCCTCCCAAGAGAACAAATCCACAAATGCCTGACGAGGGTCGAACCTACGTCCGAGAGGATTCCAGATGCACCTTAATCGACTGAGCTAAAAGAATGGTAAATGTGTGCTATATGCTTTTTTAAAATTTAGGCTTATAACATATATATACAAGTATTATTATGAATAAGTATTAGGGTGTCTGTCTATCTATACTTGTATATCCATACATACATATATTTTCAAAGTTTTACATAATAGACTAACTTTGACACACAAATACAACCTGTTAGCATGAAAAACTAAATAAATAAATTGAGAAACAATGAAAATAAATCAACAAAGTTATTCTTATGTGGCCCCTTAACTAAAAATATGCAACTTCTCCAGGCCACTACAGCTAAACCACAAGAGCTAGACACTTTTTATTTGGATTTTTGTGCTTCCTGAAGGCTAGTTAACAATGCCATAAGAAAAAATAATAATTTTTTTCAGAACAATATTTTTCTTGAGTGCCCTGGGGATGTTGGCTATTTAACAGTTTGCGGTTTAAAGGTTAAACCTTTCTTTTCTTTGCTGAGGTCTAAACAGATAATTTATACCTGCAGATTGGCAATATTTTGATTATCATCCATCTCAGAAGGGGCCAGGTCAAATGGTGTGAGACTTAGGCTCTCACAAATAGAGTTGCACTGGTGTGAATGCAGGAACAATGCCATTCCTCGTGTTCCTAAGTTACCATCTCCGTAGTCATCTCCTGATGTAAGAAATGAAAGTTTTATGAGAATTTATACAAATTTAGTATGTGATATAGAAAACATTCTTAAAAATCTAATTTTCATGAATGCCTAAAATAAAAATAAGGTCATGTAAAAACTAAAACAAACCATAATGCCAAGTCAATGCAAAAAAACAACGATGAATGTAATGAAACGCTATTTTCTGGGCGAGACCTGGAGGCTTCCCGGAGCTGTACTGGGCTGATGTGTATATATTAGACTGTGGCAACAGTCAATCGAAGGAGTTCTAGGCCTATCTGGGCCCAGAGCCAGAACCTGGCTCTCTCAAGAGAGGCACAAGGAGCAATGGCCTAAAGGCACCCCCATATAACTGAAAGCAGTCTTTGTCTGCCATCTACCAGGTCAGGCACCCAGAAAAGTAGAAATTCCCCAAAAAATAATTAATTAGTTTAATTAGTGCCGATTAATTAATTGCAAACCGATAGCCGAACTAGCAACAGAACTCTCCAATCAAAACCAAGGAAACCAGTATGACGTCACCACAAACGTCGCGCATCGGTCTGCGCAACCCTCCCCTCCCCGGGAGGGGGACAGAGGGGTCCCAGACCTCTGCACTGGCAACTCCCCAGTTCAAAGGCTGAGTATCAAAAATGCGAAAAACCGCCGACCGGAGAGAGGGAGGGATGCCAGGGAGCCTCCGGGTCTCACCCAGAAAATGGTGTTTCATTACATTGAACACTGGTTTTCTGTGGACACCCATATCAAACTCATACAGGAAGGAGGGGGGGGGGGGGGGAGAGGAAAACCCCTCCCCCTGTAACAAGCCCCGTGCCGAGGGTACCAACACCCAAGTGGGGTCAAACGGGGCCCAAGCACCCCAAGTCAAATCCTCCCCAGCCCCAGGAACCTCGACGTCAGGACCTGGGGCCGAGCTGTCCTCCAAACCCTCTGCCTCTGGAGAAAAGGCAGAGTCTGCTGGAAAAGCCGGGATGAAGGGGGCCCGCTGGAATGGCCCAAGGGCTCCAGCAGGAGGAACAGGCTCGAATGCCTCCGCCGCCGATCTGGAAGGGGAATTCCTCGAAGGCGCCCGAGACTCACCACCAGGCAAACCCTGCCCCGACTCTGAAACCCTCAGACGTTTGGGAGCCGGAAGCAGGGGAGGGAAGCAGGATGAACTACAGCAGGGAAAGGACTAGGGGGAGCAGATGAAACCAAAGTCGAGGAGACTAACGCCCCCCCAAGTCCGGGTCCCTATAACCAAAGCGGGGCAGCTGCAGGGCATACGGAAAGGCAACCAACCTTGCGCGTTGCAGCAATCTAAACCTTGCATGCAATGCCGAAGCTGCTTGCACTCTAATAACAATCTCAGTGGACTGGGTGAATTGGAGTACAAACAAGGAACACCACTCGCAGGACTCCGGGTCAAAGGTGTCATTGACCCAACAAGCAGCATGGCGGAGACAAAGACAGTGAGTGTCACCAGAGCTACCAAGCAAACAAAGCTGAACTCCTGCGATGTGTACAAGCATGGGGACCTAGTGGAGGGTCACCAAAATCATACAAGTGGTCCTACCGCCACACCTGGCAGACCCCCGCCAGGCAAAACAAAATAAATAAAAAAAACCACAAAAGCACAACATCTCCAGAACAGAACCGGTAGCTATGTGTATATCAGACAGCTGCACAGTACCTCGCGCCCCAGCCAGCGACGAAACTACCTCCTAACCCAAGGGAAAACAGCAGTAAGAACCACCCCAGCTGAACCCCAAGGGCGGGCAATCACCGAGCAGCGAACGATCCACACTGAGGTAGCTGCTCCTGAACGGCTCATGGAAGATAAACCTGAGGTCGCAAAGGCAGTACTTACGGGGCACCTAGGGAAGGTGGCCCTAGGTGCATGCAGCCCTAGTACTCTTGTGTTACTCCTGGCTCACACACCACCAAAACAGAGCAACAACATCGCACTGCAGCACTGCGCAAAGAGTGGAGCCAGAGTGATCGACCGTCACTAACACAACAGCCTCTTGAACTGAGGAGAGTTGCCGGCGTGGAGGTCTGGGACCCCCCCCATCCCCCTCCAGGGTGGAGGGGGGATTGCGCAGGCGGATGCACAGTGTTTGTGGTGACGTCATACTTGCTTCCTTGGTTTGATTGGGGAGTTCTGTTGCTAGTTCGGTTTTCGGTTTGCAATTTATTTGATCAGCAGTAGTTTGTTTTGGAATTCCCACCTTTCTGGGTGCCTGACCTGGTAGATGGCAGACAAAGACTGCTTCCAATTACACGGGGGTGTCTTTAGGCCATTGCTCCTCGTGCCTCTCTTGAGGGGGGCCAGGTTCTGACTCTGGTCCCCGGTAGGCTTAGAACTCCTTCGACTGACTGTTGCCACGGTCTAATATATACACATCAGCCCGGTATAGCTCCGGGAAGCCGAAGGGGCTCTCTGCATAAAAACAATTATTTTGGAAAATTTATTTTTGCTGCAGCATGGGAATGTCATTTTAAAAGGTGTGCAGGGCAGGGGTTAAAGCTGCTATTGAGTCACTAAAGAATTCAATTTATCCTAAAACAACAAATAGAATTACAATTCATAAAAACTCCTAAGCCCTTCCCAACTCTCCCTTGGCATCATGGATGACCACCCACCAATAAAGGACTCTCACTAACATTCAGGTGAATTTTAGATTCACATTCAGTTACAATGTTAGATAGGAATGCTTGGCTTCCTGCATTCACTGCTACCATGGTCAGCATCACATGCACCTTCAGACTCCTGGACAAAAGCAACTTCAAAACAATGAGCACATGTTAACAAACAAAACAGATGGTCAAGAAAAATATTGAGGAAAATCCACAGGAGCTGTGATGAGTATTCGAAACTATGCACTGGGTATTCCCAGATGCACGCACTAAATGACTACGCCACGACATGATAAAATAATTGTAACCTGGGGTACTACTGCACCCTCGAGGACACCCGAGACTTCCACTGAAGCCAAACCAGGGTTTCACACAATTCTCCCATGCACTCTGGCTCTGTTGTCCTGTAATTCTACCTCTGATGCCTCTCTTTCAATACAGTACACAGAGAAATCATATTATCTTGATATATCAATGAGGCAATATAGCAATTTCCTTATTGATATATCACAATAATGTGATTTCTCTGTAAGAAAAGTATTGTTAATGGTGATGATACGACAAACTTTTATTTTCAACTTCAAAAACTAGACTGTACCCTGACTTCCATGTCATAAGCTCAATCATGTCATGATGCTCTTATAATTATCCAAGGCCAGCACATCAACCTATAATATGAACAAAATCTTAATATACTGCTCCTTACCATGACTGGTATGAATCTGAGGATCTGTGTACAAATCACCAACTCCCTGGATGTCCACTACAATTAATTCATGTCCAGACCTGAGAACACAAATGAAAGTATTTTGTATACATTTAAAAAAAGATTTATATAAATCTTTCTTTCGTGAATCTTTGATGTCACATTCACTTGAGCACTAACCTACCTGAACTAGAGGGTTCAGTTCCTAAACTGATTACGTGCCTCTGTAATCCTTTACACCGCCCATGGGATGGGTATGGGGTGAATAATAAAGAAAGAAATTTAACTAACCTACCTTGAGAGGAGTCAGTGGCCTCACTATACATCTGGACTGTCTCAACATGCTGAAGACATTTGATTAAACACAGACAACATAAAATGTGGGCAAATACTGTATAATAAGACATCACTAAACCTGCCCTGCCATCTCCTTACACTATCCCATATATATTATTATTTATTTTGATTGTACACAATTTCAATGTTTCCATAATGATGCATTCCATTTTCTTAACTTACTTGTTTACAGAATTAGCAACAAAACTAGATTATTTCAGGTCTCACTAAATCTTCAAAACAATGTACAACTATACTTCATTTGCAACCCTAAACCTCACTTATAGTGCAATCACATTTTCACACTTGCTTTAGGTGATAACACATACTTTTCAAAGGTGAAATGGGAGAATGCTTGTGGAGTCATACGAATGGCCTCACAGCGTACAAAACCAGAGTTGGAATTATATTTGACATATTGACCCTCTATGAAGTGCTCAAGGTGGAACAGTGGGCTGCCCTCACGCTCCACCATTTCTAGCACAGCCATTTGGAATATGTCTACCTGAAATTTGGAAAAAACCAACGTTGAATGTAATGAAATGCCATTTTCTTGGGGAGTCCCGGAGGCTTCCTGGAGTTATCAGGCTGATGTGTGTTATATTAGTCTGGGGCATCAGTCAATTGGAGTTCAGTCTACCAAGGACGACTATCCATAGGCAACGGCCTATGTAAGCCCCCATGTATTTGGGAGCATTCCATGTCTGCCATTGATCGAGGTTGACACCCAGAAAGGTAGGCATAACAAAACAAACCACAAGGTTTGTTTTTTTTCTTACCGCAAGGTAAGAAAAATTTAACCCGAAAACCGAACAGAGGTAGAACTTCCTCCACTTAAAAGGAACAAGCAAACATCCCACTCTGCTGCCGCGCCACTTGTCTGCCCAGTTCCCCCCTTACCTCGGGAGGGGGAGGGGGCACCCCAGACCCACCGTGCAAGTTACCTAACAACTCCAGTTCGGAGGCTGAGCATCAAAACCCAAGCAAAAAACCGCTGACCGTAGGGAGGGAGGGAAGGTGAACGAGAGCCTCCGTGGCTCACCCAAAAAATGGAGTTTCATTACATTCAACGCTGGTGTTCTGTTGGGAGCCCCTCCGGCTCCCTAGAGCTACCTAACCTAAGATTAGGAAATAGAAACCTACCCAGGAGGCGGTTGTTACTCGCTCCTCAACGAAGTCGAGACAACTGGCTACAACCTGCAACCCAAAGCAACACATAGGGCCAGGAATGTTGTCGTACTGGTCGTGCGAATCCCCATGCCCGAATGTCAGCCCAGAACATGTATTGCCGAATACAGCAGCCAAAGCAGCAAACATACGAACGTCGTGGGCATGGGGATAGGCCGCAGGCTGGCTAAACTCAATGACCCTGCAGACAACCTGGAAGACCTGAACCCTGGAACAGGGAACGAGGGAAACCGGATCAATCTAACGGACATCCCTGGCCACAGAAGCCGAGGCGCGCAGGTAATGGTGAAGAGCCACAACTGGACATAATACATTCATCCCTGACCTGACCAACCAAGCATCAATGACCCAAGGACCCCCACCCCTGTGGAAAGTGGCCGTCTTGTTCTTCGCCAGAAAAGAAGGGGAAGGCTGCAACCGAGCAAACCGAACACCAGAACCGAAAGAGAAGAAACCCCTGTGACAGAGGAGAGCATGAAGCTCACCAACCCGACCCCCCCCCCCCCAAAGATTAATGCCAACAGAAAGAGAGCCTTGGAAAAACAATCTTAACCGAAAGGGCCATCACGAACCGAGGATAAGAGAGAAAGGAGAGCACCCTGTCCAAGGACCAGGATGGCTCAGGTGGCACAGGCCAGAAGCCAAAAAAGGAGTAAAAATCTGACTCCTCCTATCCATTTCAAAGTTGAATGATAATCTAATTCCCTCCTTCCTTTTCTTGACGTTCACTTTCACAGTTCTGTGGGTTCTCTTTTTCTGTCTACCACAAACCCATGCACAGTGGCATGTACATTCACCTCTTTTCCTACCATCCTCCTACTGTCCTCGTCTCTCTCTTCCTCCGCGCTCTACGCATCAGCAACCCTCAGTTTCTCGATTCTGAAATTGCCTTTATCTACAAATCATTCTCTCGCCTTGGTTACTCTTTGCATTTTATCAACTGTGCCTGGCCAGGGCTTTATTTCACAGTTTCAAAGTTTCAAAAGCCTACCTACTAGCAAAAGATACCACTTCATACCCAAGGCTAAACGAAGGCCACGAAAATTTCAGCTGGCCTCGAGGAAGGGTAAGAACCGAGTGGCAAAGACCCCTACAGCAGCGGTTCCTGAAATTTCTATGGAAGGGAACACTAGAACTCAAGGGTAGTACTTACAGGGTGCCTAGGGAAGAGAACCCTAAGCACATGCAGCACCAGTACTCTCAAATTCTAATGGCCATAGTGCCACACACACACACAGCAGAAGACACCACTAAGTACACAGCTGCCTAGGAACCTCAGGCCAAGGTCAACATCTGCCCCGGACCGGATCAGCCTACAAACTGGAGTTGTTGGGTAGCCGTCACAGAGGTCTGGACAAGCTGCGCAGACAAGCGGTGCAACGGCGGAGTGTGGTGTTTGATTGATTGCTTGTTCCTTTAAGTGGGGGGGAGTTCTGCCTCTGTTTGGTCTTTGATTGCAATTTTTCTTACCTTGTGGGTTTGTTTTGTTATGTCTACCTTTCTGGGTGCTAACCCCAGTCGATGGCAGACATGGAATGCTCCCAAATACATGGGGGTTTCCATAGGCCATTGCTCCCTTTGCCTCTCTGAGGGGAGCCAGGTTCTGGCTCATTGTCCCCAGTAGACTGAACTCCAATTGAGAACCCCAGACTAATATGACACCACACACACATCAGCCTGATAGCTTCAGAGAGCCGAAGGGGTTCCCCCAAAGAAAACAAGACTGTTTGCCTGTCTTGCTAAAAAATTAAATAAATGAATTTTAGCAATGACGTAAAAACAAAATGGCATTAATTGGTGCAGTGTTACACGAGGTTTACCAGTACAGTAATTGTTTATAATATCGACACTATTTTTCAAGCAATATTTGCTACTGAACAAAAGTAGCAAAATCTTTCCAGCTTTCTGAGGTTTACAAATATACAGCACAGTACCAAGTTCTGGATTTTTTTAGACTTCACTACACAATAGTATGAATATATAAAAAGTTACAGGTACTATACCTTTTTTGGTGGGTTATGCCTGTTATACTCTTCTCCCCACAATTTGGCATCCATCTGAAAATAAAAACATAATCCATCAGCCATAAAAATAAAAATATAACTCTTCTATATTTCTTACCTATATTTTAATTTCATAGTTTACTGTCAACATGGTATGTACTATTGTATATACAGTATTCTGAATAACATAACTAAATTCATATACCTATATACAGAATGTTACAAAGGTGTAGCTTAGCTCAAAAGAGCTCAACAACACAAAACTTAAAACGGAGCAAATACAGTTATATACGAGAGAACACCAGGAAGCAGCCTAAATGAACAATCACACATGGGGTGCAGTGCCAATTTTATAGATGCCAGAGCTCTGGTGGGTCTGACAAAAGCCTGTCATTTTCTATCCTGTTTCTATATACGTCACACGATTAAGGTACAGTACAACCTCGATTTAACGCACTATATGGGACCAACCCCGGTGCGTTGGATTCGTTGTAAGATGTGACCTTCAAGAGGCATTTGCGTCGGTGTATTTTTTTTTTTTTTCTTGTAAACAATAAATATGCATTATCATATTATATACTGTACCTATATATTACTACTTTACTATAAAAAAATTGTGTGTTACAGTTGATATTTAAATTATTGTTGGAGTTATGTCCATCTTGAATTCTCAGAGTTGTGAATGCTGTACAGTAAATACGTATTGTACTGTATTATGCCGTTAGCATTGTATTGATAAGTAGTTCTGCTGTATGTTGAGTACTACAATATAGTTTATGAAAACTATTTTACACTAAAATTACTGTACTGCAACCTTGATTTGAACACTATGCACTTAAATTTAACACTTATTCTAACTGTACACTCCACACACGATGTTCTTAGATGTTTGCATCAGCTTTGCTGGTGCTCGCTGCTGCTGTGTTTGCTTCAGCTGCTTCTGAGCTGGTGCTGGCTGCTGTTGTACCAGTGCTGGGTGCTGGGTAGGCTGTGCGTGCTGTGCTCGTGCTGGGTACGGCTGTGCTCGTGCTGGGTACGGCTGTGCGTGCTGGGCTCGTGCGTGCTGCTGGGTACGGCTGTGCTCGTGCTGGGTACGGCTGTGCTCGTGCTGGGTACGGCTGGCTGTGCTCGTGCTGGGTACGGCTGTGCTTGTGCTGGGTACGGCTGTGCTCGTGCTGGGTACGGCTGTGCTCGTGCTGGGTACAGCTGTGCTCGTGCTGGGTACGGCTGTGCTCGTGCTGGGTACGGCTGTGCTCGTGCTGGGTACAGCTGTGCTTGTGCTGGGTACGGCTGTGCTCGTGCTGGGTACGGCTGTGCTCGTGCTGGGTGGGTACGGCTGTGCTGCTGGGTACGGCTGTGCTGTGCTGGGTACGGCTGTGCTCGTGCTGGGTCGCTGGGTGTGGGTACTGGCTGTGCTCGTGCTGGGTACGGCTGGCTGTGCTACGGCTGTGCTCGTGCTGGGTACGGCTGTGCTCGTGCTGCTGTGCTCGTGCTGGGTACGGCTGTGCTCGTGCTGCTGGGTACGTGCTGGGTACGGCTGTGCTCGTGCTGGGTACGGCTGTGCTCGTGCTGGGTATGGCTGTGCTCGTGCTGGGTACGGCTGTGCTCGTGCTGGTTGATTTTCTGCTACTAGTTCTTGCAAAATATTGCTTCATTTTTGGCATTAATAAGGCATTATTAGCAAGCCCCTGAGACATTTTGTTGTATAACAATACAGCTGTAGTAAAAAAATGGTAAATTCCACGATTATTCTTCCACTGGCGGATAAATGTCAATCGCAGACAAAGCTAAGGGCACTGGGTGCCTACTGTACGAACGCAGACTAGGTCTATACACCCTACAGTAGGCTGGTGTTGGGTGTATAGTAATCCAGATCCAGTAACATATTTCTCGCAAATATTGGATTTACATCAAATTCTATATTTTTGGGTTATATATTTAGTTTAGCAACATTATTACGATAATAAGAGCTGTAAAAAATACTTATTTTGGATCTGATTTATTAATTTTATTTTGAAGCCGTAGGTCACTGAACTGTGGCGACGAAATCGAACAAAACGAGCATGGTAGCTGGCGAGAAACAATGGGTAGAGTTTCTTTCACCCCGATGCCCCTGTTACTTAGCAGTAAATAGATACCTGGGAGTTAGTCAGCTGTTACGGGCTGCTTCCTGGGGGTGGAGGCCTGGTCGAGGACCGGGCCGCGGGGACACTAAGCCCCGAAATCATCTCAAGATAACCTCAGGATGGTGGTGTGCACACGGATTAGACCCGTCTACTCGCGCTAGAGTTGTGCTGCCAATAACATGAATAATTTCTCAAATAGCAGATATCTATCATATCACAGTATATTTTTTGTTTAATTTAGTTTAATTAGGACAATAAAGCATTATTAAAACACCAGTTTTTTTAGAAATTATTTATTAATCTGAAACATTCAAAGTCATGGGTCACTGAACTATGATGACAGACGAAAGTGAGTGAAACCTCGCTGTAAAGGTGAGGTTTACTGTACAGTATTTCCTTATCTGTCCACCCTCACTCATCTTGTCACCCTCACTCACCTTATTTCATCACAGAAAATGTCTATAAGAAGATTTCAACACATTAGCTAGCTATTCACGCTTTAGCCTTTAAATGAATTTACAAAGATACGTGAGCCACAAATCAGTGAATGAAAATCATGGAAACTCAGTCGTTCACTTGTGTGGACCACTCTGGCTGGTGTTTGGTTCATATGCTTCACTTGTTGTGTGGACCATTCTGGCTGGTGTTTGGTTTATATGGTTCACTTGTGTGGCCCACTTGTGTGATCCAACTTGTCTTATGAAGGAATTATTATTTGTAATCTGTGATAGAATGAGAGTTTTCCACCACTCTGTGAACTCTGTCCCAACATCGTAAGCTTGTGGACCACTTGTGCGGTCCACTTGTGTGATCGAACTTGTCATATGAGCGAATTATTAACACTTTCGCGCACCCCGCGCGCCACCCCTCGACAGGGCGATATGGGCCCCAGCATGTCACGGAAGCGCGCGTCAATTCCGAAAAGTGTATACTCTCTTCAACTTTGTCACCTCAATTTTCGTTCTACGAGATTAAATTTGGTATCATTGTGTTCGCAATAAAATTCTGTACAGCACTAAATGCATATAAACTCCAAAAGCCCGGCTAATTACCCGCAGCAAGCAGAGAAAGTGCGAACGAGTTACCAGGGAGCGCGCAAACGCGATAAAATGTTTTCACTATTTTCACTCTGGTCACCTCAATTTTCGTCCTAGGTCTTTCATTTTGGTCTCAATGGGTTCGTAATAGAATTCTCTAGAGGAATATTAGCATATAAAATAAAAAACCTGGTCACGCTCCAACCGCCGACGAGTTGAAGACAGGCCACGCGTTAGCCAGGAGTGAGTGCTCAGACGCCTTCCCGCTACACTCCCAATTCCTGCCCACATATGTTTAGTATTATTTCCTGGTGGTAATCTCAATTTTCGTGTTACAGCGCTCATTTAGGTATGAAAATGTTCCTAATAGAATTCTTCAGATGGATATGTGCATATAAGGGCCAATTGAACAACATTGCCTGTACAATACGGGAAAGTATGAACAAAAAAAATAAATAAATAATACAAAAATTTGCACTTACCACCTCAGTGTTGTGTGTTGAACATGACATGGGTTGAACATTTGTTTTATCCACTCCACCTGCTCCTGGAAAACGTTTCCTGCAGGGTCAACCCATGTTTTGTATAGGTGGAGTGGATGGTGGGAGTTAGTCTCACATGCTTGTACTTCTCCTGTACACTACTCAGCTTCTGCTTTTCACGCCTTTCTTTCGCAATTTTCTTCCTGGAAGGGCCTTGTTCATGATCACTATCCATCGTGGAGTAAGAGTAGATAGTTTCTGAAGCCGCAGTAAGAAATATAGCCACGGAAAATAGCCGAAATGTTCACACGTTTGAGACGCGAGGGGAGGCGACACCGGTCACAACAGTGGAACGAAAACAATGGGCCGACGGCGTGTGCCGCGCCGCCTGCGGGCCACTAGGTGCAACAAAGAAAATGGGAAGACATCGGCACGCATTTTAAAACCAGTCCCAAAAAAAATCGGATAAAAACCTGATTTTTGGCCAATTTTTAAAGTGGATGACGCAATGCTGCGTCATCCCCGGCATTACCGCCAGTAAACGGATGACGCAATGCTGCGTCATCCCCGAGCGAAAGTGTTAACTATAGTTTCCTTTATTCTTATATTCACATGTTCTTGTTATATGTAAGAATGCTACTCCCCTCTATCCTTGTTTCTATATTCTATGATCATGTTTGTCTCTCTTGGAAAGACAGCAACTCGGAATTATTACTTGCCATCTTTGTTCTTGAAAATGCAATATGTGGCTGCATTTCCTGTACACTCCTTTGAAGATCATCAAATTTCTTAGCTTTACTATTACAGTACTGTTCGGAGTACAGAGGATATGTAGGTCGGTCACTCTTGACAGATTTACTTTGGTTACTAAGTAGGTTTGGAAGTGTATCAAAAGTTGTATTGCTTAAATTGCAAAGGATGACAAAGAATGCATTAAAAAAGTATACCAAAAAATATAAAGAAGGTACTGTACATAATAAACATTTATGAAGGCCTCGGGAGATAGCCTTATACAGTACAGACTCGAGGTTTTCCTTTAGTCACATTATCAAAGGAAATTTTCATGATAATGACATACAATGGAGCATCAGCTCTAAGCCAAGGACTGGAACTTTACAGTTGGAGAAGCTGATATAACAAAAGCAACAAACAAATGTCTTCAACACAGACCTGCAATTTAACATCATCAAAGTATGTTGACCTGGGAGTCTCTTCATCCATGTAACGTTTTGCTACGTAGTTGTGAGCACGCATCCAATCATCCTTTGAAAAGTTACTCAGCTTCTTCCTGTTGTAAATACAAGCTTATAAATATCATGATTTAGTTACATTAAATCATAATTTATATAACATAACTAGTGAGAAATTGATATATTTGCAAGAGTGGTTTTGTTGGTATTAAAAGAATGCAAAGATAGAATACCAAAAGGTATATCTGTAGAAGAGATCAGTGCAAAAATTTAAATGTAGTTACAGGTGTGGATGAGTTATATAGATGGGATTAAATACAACAGACAATAAAAAGGGAAAACAGTAGCCAGTGTGAAGAATTTGCCAGATGCATAGGAAAGAGATAACTCTGCAGCATGATTAGACCAAGACTGAATCTACGTATAAAATTAAGGGCGAGTTTGGTGAACGTAAAAATAATAAAAGCCATTAGTTTATAAATGGAAGTTGGGAAAAGTAAACAGGATAGTGTTTAAAAGGATCCCTAAAATAATTAAGAAACTAATCAATGACTAATGGAATTTCAGCAATGGAACTGGCTCAGATCTATTAGTGAACATGGGGTACTGGAGGCTACCGTTTTGTAATGCACCTTCTATATTTGTTCAGTGATTTTTCCTAAATCTCTCTACATTTTTCATTGTTATATCTGCTCTTGGAGTTTTAAATGGAAATGATTTCCAAAACTACTTCATTCAGGGCATTTCACTTGTTGGAAACAGGTACAGGGGTCGAGTTTTTCTTAAAGTTCTTTGGCTTGTTTAGCTTCTACCTACCTATACATTCTTGTCCTATTTTCTCCTTGCTCACCTTGTTTTCCCCAGTATTTTGAATGTAGTATTCATATTCCTTATGCTCCTTCTCTAATATTTTGAGATTGAACTCTAAGCGTCTATCCCGGTTGACATTAGCTTACGAACTGATGCTAGGCAGCCGGCGCGGTGAGGTCCAGGGCTCCCCCCTCCCCCTCTCAGGGTGAGAAGGGCTGCGTGGACAATCGGCGCGGCAGTAAAGTGTGATGTTTGATTGTTTCCTTGGGATTGTAGGGAGTTTCTACCTCTCTGTTCGGTTTTTTACCATGTGGGGTTTTTGTTTTGTTATGCCTACCTTTCTGGGTGCCTAACCCCGGTCGATGGCAGATAAGGAAAACCCCAAGCACAAGGGGGTTTTCGAGGGCCATTGCTCCCTGAAACCTCTCTGAAGGGGCCAGGTTCTGGCGCTGGTCCCTGGTAGGTCTGAACTCCTTAGCTAATGTCCTGGTCTAATGTAACATACATTAGCCTGATAAGCTCCAGGGAGCCGTAGGGGTTCACCACAGAAAAGTGCGAGAAAGCTTGTGAAACAGGGCCAAAGAAGTGTTAACCCCAAATGTAGGATGGAGTGGCTTTACCAGCACTGCACAATAAACTATTTTATTTATTTTATTTTATTTATTTATATACAAGAAGGTACATTGGGGGTTAAGAGAGTACATGGTAATGATTTTGCATTCTTGTAAAGCCATTAACACGCATAGCATTTTGGGCAAGGCTAACTAAACAAAGCTGCTGAAGAAATATAAGAAAATTTACTTTTGCAAACATAGTGGTAGATGGTTGGAGCAAGTTAGGTGAGAAGGTGGTGGAGGCCAAAACCATCGGTAGTTTCAAAGCGTTATATGACAAGAGAGCTGGGAAGACAGGACACCATGAGCGTGACTACACTTGGGTAATTACAATAGCTACACTTGTAACTACACTTAGGTAATTACAATAAGAGGCAACAGGATTCGGTATGAGATGGCAATCGAGAAACAGCCAAGAAAGGATAAAACAACAACAGCGGATTATATTTTGTATTCGCTATGTTACGGGTCAGTTTACTTTAAAGTTTACTTAAAATCCGTAACGTAGCAGATACAAAACATAAAATTGTTTTAAATTACCCAAATAAAATTAGGGGAAGGGTTAGTAAGAATAGAGTACAAGATGACAGAAATCCGGGAAGGGTTTATATATTAATTAGCCTCGACCAGGACCGGGTTGCAGAAATGCTAAGCCCCGAAATCATCGCAAGGTAAGTACCTTGTAGAGATTGTAATGAAGTCTATATGGGGGAAACAGGCTGTAAACTTGTGATCAGAATTGAAGAACATAAGAAAGCATGTAGAAATGTGGCTGGTAATAGTGCTGTAGCAAACCATAGTTGGGAAAAGGATCATAATACAGTATTGATTTTCAGAAGTGTGAAATAATCTATAAAAGTACTGTAATAAAAAAATTAGAAGGGTAGTGGAAGGGGTTATAATAAATACTCTGAATACTTTCACTGACAACAAAAGCTTTACTGTGGAGGAAAGCTGTACTAGGAAAATGATTCTGAGCGAATTAAAATTAGATCACAATAAATGAATGAATGAAAGCATTAACCACATTCCTTAGGGGTATAGAGAAGGTTACGAGTATCCAGATGAACACCTCTATTAATAACAGTTCCAGTTCCCAGAATAGCAGGATTACAGAAATGACAAATAATTACGTAGATAATAATTTGACCATAATTCTGTAGGAGACATTACAGCAGGTACATCAGAAGTCTGGAATAGTGGTGACATGGTCAAGAGGTCAAGAAGGATAAGAGGACTGGACCCTTGATAGCAGCCTCATTAGACCGAGATATAAGTCTTGTCCTAATCACACACACAGACCTTGACAAAGCACTCATGAGAGTGCAAAAGACTTTGTGTAAATTCCTTACATAAATTTCACAAATACTCAAGTGTGGGTTTTTATTCTATATTATTATGTCTGAAAAGACATTACCATTACTTATTATTATTATTATTATTACAATAATATTATTATTATTACAATAATATTATTATTATTATTAAACCATGGTGGCATAATACATCTTTACGTGAATAATTATTCTCTTGCACAGTGCACAGCACTGTGCAAGAGAATTCTCTATTCCCTTCTGTATTCTCTATACAAGTGCACAGCATAAAATTAAAAAGAGGACAAGCAATTGAGACAACTTTTTTTTTTGTTAAACATACATTCGAAAGCACTCCCTCATAGCTCCATGGTTGAAGGAATGATTTTCCATCTTCACCACAACTTCATCAACCACCCAGGTCTGCCGCATAGCATTGTAACGGTGACGTTTAGCCTTCTCAGTCTTGTATGTGTCTAGATGGAATTTCTCCCAAGGATCCCCAAGAGCACGAGCCTGATAACAAAATTATTATTAGCTCCCATAAATACTTTTATAAACTAATTAAGTTATATCAATACTTCTCAGTTTTGATTCCTGTTATGATAATTATAATTAACACTTACTCTACTTGAAACTGATTATATTTTGCATATTCAGTTTTTTATAATAAACTAAATCCTAAGGGAATGGCTGATTCATCCAACAGATTCCTCCATATACCTGCTCCATGTAACCACAATCTTATGATTATACAAAACCAAAGTCATCAATGTTCATCTTCTAAATACAGACAATGTTCCATGTTATTAGTATGGTATGGTTCATGGAACCATACAATGGTTCCATGAACAACAAGTTGTTATAAAATTTCTACAAGTTCCTTGTTATAAGTTAAGCAGTTCCTCTACTACTACCAGGGTGCAATACCAGTTCTCCACATTTTCATGGAGAGAAGGAATTCTACTTTTTTTCAGTGTGACATTGCCAATTTTCCTGCCAGACTTCAGTCCTGGATTGGAAGGATATCAGGAAAGTCTGTAAACTTTTCTTATCAGTTATCTTTTTACTTTTGCCCCGAGAGGTTGAAACTTAGAAACACTATGTCCAGGCTCATTCTTTCTCGGCTTTTTTGGCCTTCTGTTGTAAGGCTTATGTGATATGACATCTTGCCTACCTATCTTATGTCTACCTTGTGAAGGTTCCGGGAATCAAAGGCCCTGCAGCCCGGTCTTCAACCAGGCCTCCCAGTCGGTCGTCTGATCAACCAGGTTGTTGGACACAGCTGCTTGCAGCCCAATGTATGAATCACAGCCTGGGTGATCAGGTATTCTTTGAAGGTGTTTGTCGAGTTCTCTCTTGAACACTGAGAGGCTGGCCAGTTATGCCCCTTATTTGTAGCAGGAGAGTGTTGAAAAGTCTTGGGCCCCTTGATATTGACAGTTCTCCCTCCAGCATGTCCTCCTACGGTTTCTCCCCCATCAAGAAAACGGTCACTTTAAAGTGTCATCTTCTAACCTACTAGAGGACCCAAAACAGAAAACGGGATGGTATGTCACTTCTGCGAGCCGCTTCCATCTTCTAGTACAATATTTTTGGCCTTATGCAACACATACGAGCAAAAAACGATGTTCATTGTAGGAGGACATACCATATACGTATACTATAGGACATCTCAGCATAACTATTGCACTTCTGCTTTTCAATGGGGCTATTTTGCACATCGTTCCATGCCTTCTGGTTTTATGTGATGTAATCTCTGTGTTCAGATCTGGAACCAGTCCCTCTAATATTTTCCATGTGTAGATTATAATGTATCTCTCGCCTGTGCTCTAATGAATACAGAATTAGAACCTTCAATCGGTCCCAATAATTAGACGACTTACAGAGTGGATTCTAGTAGTACAGGATCTTTGCACGCTCTTTAGGTCAGCAATTTCTCCAGCTCTGAATGGAATTGAAATATATCCCAACTGAAATTCTTCCCAAAAAAAGAGGCAAAGGTATGAACCTAAAATGTGGACTATAATAACTGCACAAAAACTACAAGATATGCACCCTTTTACGTTAAATATCACAACCAGGCCTAGATGGTCTGCCTTGGCTCCAGGGAGAGGAGGCTCTCCCTGGAGGTTAGTGTGGGCTGAGCATCAACTGGAGGCTCCCACCTCCAGTTGATGCACTGTCCACACTAACTTACTCTCTGACCTCCAAGCTGTGAAGCTGAACTAGATTACTCTGCCAGCCTACTGGCTGCCAGACTAGTAAGCAGGGTTAATTGAAAATCCTAATCTTATTTACTGGCCACCCCAGGTGATTTAATTCCTATTGAAACTGATGGTAATTACATAGGTTCTTGAACACGGCTCTTTTCAATTACCATATTGAATAGCGACCTAAATTTAATTTATGAATTAACAAACCCGAGGGTGTGGTGCTTCCGGCCGCCTGACCTTCTTGACCCAGGATGAGTCAGAGGTCCGATCCAAAACTAGTCCCCATCCTCATTGATTAATCTGTTCTTTCCAATTAAGAGGACTGTTGATTCTTTACTCTAAAATGATGTTAAACTAATCTAAGTACTTGACAAAGGAGGTTATTGATTACAGTTGCTTTAATACATGAATTATTCTCAAATTGGTGAATTAGATACAAGAAACATGTGGCGCTCCTTGTTTCCGAACATAAGCTGTAATCCCTTGGGGGGGGGGGATGACCCTTCCTAGCCTTTCAGGTCAAACTACCAACTCACAGCATATTTTTACAAACGGAGTATCCTACCTTCTAGTGAACGACAGCTTTCAATATTAGATCTATAGCCTTCTATATTAACAGTTCTACTGTTACATACCTTCAACACAGCATTCTTCCATGCCATCCTAGCCATCAACTTCTTGTCAACATCTTTCTTCTCCCGTCTCCGCTTGAGACCCGCACGGTACACCACAGAGAAGAATCTACTCCCACTGCTGGGTGCCAATGATTGGCATTCATTTTCACTAAAAAAAAAAAAAAAAATCATATTTATTTTAATCATGGCTCATACATCAATCCCATCCTGAAGAGATGGAAACAAAGGTACAGTACATGCGAGATCTAAAAAAAATCATGATTCATGAAGATCATACAAAGCTCTAAAAAAAACGGTGTTGAGTGTAATGAAACGTCATTTTCTGGGCGAGACCCAGAGGCTCCCGGAGCTATACCGGGCTGATGTGTATATATTAGACCATGTCAACAGTCAATCGATTGCGTTCTTAGCCTACCAGGGACCACGAGCCAGAACCTGGCCCCCTCAGAGAGGCACGAGGAGCAATGGCCTATAGACACCCCCATGTAGTTGGAAGCAGTCTATGTCTGCCATCTACCTGGTCAGGCACCCAGAAAGGTAGGCCACGTCAGGCACCCAGAAAGGTAGGAATCCCCAAAAAACTACATCTGGTTAAAAATTGCAAACCGGAAAAGCAGCCGCGCAGCTGTCTGCACAGAGGGGGGAAGGAGGGACCAAGACCTCCCATGCTGGCTACCCAACCCCAGTTCAGAGGCTGAATATCAAAACGCGAAAAAAAACGCCGACCGGAAGGATTCCAGGAAACCTCCAGGTCTCGCCCAGAAAATGGCTTTTCGTTACATTCAACGCTGGTTTTCTGTGGAGCCCCCCTTTGGCTTCCCAGAGCTACCTAACCAGAGATAAAGGAAAAGAGGGACTTACCTAGGAGGCAGCCGCCACTCGCTTCTCAACTCGAAGTCGAGACAACTAGCTGCAACCTGTGACCCAAGGCAACATATGCCCACGAATGGCCCGGAAAATTAACAAGGTACCATGCGGCCAGAACCCTGTTCAACCTCCAAAACCCCCATACCTGAATGTCAGCCCAGGAAACATTACCAAAAAACAGCAGCCAAAGCCACAAACTTTCAAACGTCGTGGGCACGGGGATGGACCGCAGGCTGGCTGGACTGAATAATCCTGCGGATGACCTGAGAGACCTGCGCCCTGGAAAAGGGAAGAAGGGAAAACCGGGTCAGCCCAAAGCGAGTCCCCTGCCACGGAGGCCATAACGCGCAAGTAACGGCGAAGAGCGGCAACCGAAAACAAAACACGATGCACCCCCCCGGCTGAACACAGCATCAACAAACCAAGGACCCCTCTGGAAAGTCTCATTCTTCGCCAAAAAAAAAAGATGGCTGCAAACGAACAAAACAACCACCAGAACCGAAAGAGCAAAAACCCCTGCATCAGAGAAGAGCATGAAGCTCCCACACCTAACCCGCAGAGGTCAATGCCAACAAGAAAAAGAGCCTTAGAAAAACAGTCCTGAACCGAAGGAGCCACCACAAACCGAGGAGAAGAGAGAAAAAAGAGAGCAACCAATTAAACGACCAGGATGGTTCAGGCGGCGCATGAGCAGGCCAGAGGTGAAACAAAACCCGAGAAAGCTTGCGGAATGGAGCAGAAGAGACATCCACCTTGAACGCAAGCTGAAGTGGCTCTGCCAGCGCCACACAATACGAGGTTGGGGGGATCTGGGATCTGGGGGTTGATATCACACTGAACCTGTCCCCAGAGGCCCACATCAAAAGAATATCATCAGCGGCATATGCTAGACTGGCCAACATAAGAACTGCCTTTAGAAACTTGTGTAAGGAATCTTTCAGAACCCTGTATACCACTTATGTAAGACCAATCCTGGAGTATGCAGCTCCAGCCTGGAGTCCATACCTAGTTAAACACAAGACAAAGCTAGAGAAGATTCAACGGTATGCCACCAGGCTCGTCCCGGAACTGAGAGGAATGAGCTACGAGGAAAGGCTAAAGGAGCTGAACCTCACATCCCTGGAAAACAGAAGAGTAAGGGGAGACATGATAACCACCTACAAAATTCTCAGGGGTATTGACAGGGTGGACAAAGACAAACTCTTCAGCATGAGTGGAACACGAACAAGGGGACACAGGTGGAAACTTAGTACCCAGATGAGCCAGAGACGTTAGAAAGAATTTTTTCAGTGTCAGAGTAGTTAATAAATGGAATGCACTAGGCACTGATGTGGTGGAGGCTGACTCCATACACAGTTTCAAATGTAGATATGATAAGAGCCCAGTAGGCTCAGGAATCTGTACACCAATTGATTGACAGTTGAGAGGCGGGACCAAAGAGCCAAAGCTCAACCCCCGCAAGCACAATTAGGCGAGTACAATTAAGTGAGTACAATACGAGGTGACAGTATTCGGCATTTGGACAAAACAACCCGATCAGAAATCGAAGACAACTTATGAAGAGTCAAGAAGTGCCGAAAGGAGCCCCAGGAAACCTCATACTGAGCCTCGGACCACTCAAGCACGTGGGACCGACAATGTATGGCATGCCTTCAACGAGAAAAAGGGGCAGTCCGTAAGCCAGGACAACTCCAGAACTTCATAATGAACCCAGTAAGGAAAAGAAGATCCAAACACGAAAGAAGAAATATCCATTATGGAGGCGTAATCCGGGTTGCACAGAAGGTAAGTTGCAATGGCCTCCCGCACCACATGAGGTGGGATGAGGAAGGCCAAAAACCTCTGGAAGGATGGGACCGAAGAACCCAAGGGAGCACGGAAGCGAACCTGGGGAGGGATTGACGCCAAATTCAACTCATACGAGGAGGGAGGACAAGAAAACCCCACTCCCTGTAACATCAAGCCCCGCTCAGAGGGTACAAGCACACTCAGGGCGGTCAATTACCGAGCAGCAAAGGACCAAAAGAGGTAGACCCCAAGCCCCAAGGGCAGCACTTACAGGGCACCTAAGGAAGGTGACCCTAGGCGTATGCAGCTCGAGTACTTGGGAGATTACTCCTGGCTCGCGCACTGTGAGAGAAGACTCACCCCACACCACAAGGCACAGAGCAGAGGACAGAGGGCAGGAGCTGGAGCCACAACAACCAATGCCATTCACATCAGCCAAAGAGCTGAAGGTTAGGGTTGCCGGCACAAGGGGACTGGGGCTCCCCTTCCCCCTCCCGAGTAGGGGGGTGCTGCACAAACGGCGATGTGGCAATTGGTTTTGTCATGCTCGTTTGCTTGTTTTTCTTTGGGAAGTTCTGTCCACTCGTTTGACTTTCAGTAGTAGTTTCAACCAGAATAAGGGGTTTGTTTTTGGGATGCTTACCTTTCTGTGTCTGACCTGGCCGATGGCAGACATAGAATGCTCCAAGTCACACGTGCTATTCTATATGCCATTGCTTCTCATGCCTCTCTGGAGGGCTCAGGTTCTGGTTTGTGGTCCCCGGTAGGCCTATGAACTCCATTCACATTGACTGATGCCAAAATATATATAATATATATGCCAATATATATAATATATTGGCATCCTCAATATATCTAATATATTACATATCAGCCTGGATAGCTCTGGGGAGCCGATGGGGCTCCCCCAGAAAAGAAAATTAAGACCATGGTCCCTTAAAACAATCCTTATTGTTTATTGACTTTTTACATAGTTTTGGGTGGAAATTTTTTTAAATTTTCAGAGCAACACACACGGTACTTCTATTTAGGACATTTCTGCAATTTTTTGGGTGTTTATATTTACATGTTTCATTAGCTCCCTAACATGTTCCCAAGGCTGAACTACTGACCCTCCCCAGAATACAACCCAACAACTGTTTACCTACTCCTAGATACCTATTTACTTTTTTTTCCAATTATATTCCTGCACGAGTCCTAAGCCTCTGGCTGACCCACAGGTGAGCAGCTGCATTAGGTGAAAGGAAAATTGCCCAACTTTTTTTTTTTTTTTTTTTTTTTTTGAGATATATACAAGAGTTGTTACATTCTTGTACAGCCACTAGTACGCGTAGCGTTTCGGGCAAGTCCTTAATCCTATGGTCCCTGGAATACGATCCCCTGCCGAGAAGAATCGTTTTTTCATCCAAGTACACATTTTACTGTTGCGTTAAACAGAGGCTACAGTTAAGGAATTGCGCCCAGTAAATCCTCCCCGGCCAGGATACGAACCCATGACATAGCGCTCGCGGAACGCCAGGCGAGTGTCTTACCACTACACCACGGAGACTGCTGTTCTATTATGCTGTTCAACTATTTCTGTTCTGTCCGGGATTTGAACCTGGGATTTCTGTCCGAGTCAAGAATGAACCCAACTAGATAACTGGGACCCACTATTGATTAACCTTGGGTGCAGAACATCCTCCCCCCTTTAAAAAAACAAATTTGACACAAGTTTTTTATATCTATTTCAAGTGCTTCTCATAACAATATCAATTTAATATTTGGAAGATTACATTTTGAACACGATTACAACTTTGAATGATTACTAACTCAATTAGGAGTTGTGATTGATAAATTTGAAAATAGGGTTATCTTGAGGTTATCTAGAGATGATTTCGGGGCTTTTAGTGTCCCCGCGGCCCGGTCCTCGACCAGGCCTCCACCCCCAGGAAGCAGCCCGTGACAGCTGACTAACACCCAGGGGCCAGATTCACGAAAGCACTTACGCAAGCACTTACGAACGTGTACATCTTTCATCAATCTTTGACGGCTTTGATAACATTTATTAAACAATTTACAAGCATGAAAACTTCCCATTCAACTATTGGTATTGTTATAAACAGCCTCCTGGTGCTTCGGAGCTCATTAACTGTTTAATACTTGTAAACAAAGCCTCCAAAGATTGAAAAAAGATGTACAGGTTCATAAGTGTTTGCGTAAGTGTTTTCGTGAATCTGGCCCCAGGTACCTATTTTACTGCTAGGTAACAGGGGCATAGGGTGGAAGAAACTCTGCCCATTGTTTCTCGCCGGCACCTGTGATCGAACCCAGGACCACAGGATCACAAGTCCAGCGTGCTGTCCGCTCGGCCGACCGGCTCCCATTAGGGTGTTCCCAAATAGGGTGTTCACAAGAACACCCTATTTTCCTCAGAAATTTCTTCCACATTGGCCCAGTGAACCTTATGTTTTGTTAAGAGAGACTGAACAAGGCAAACTATGATTTTAGATAATTTTGGGTAATCAGACTAACCTTTCGTCCAGCCGCCTCCTTAGGTCTTCCAGCTCCAGTGGTCGGATATCGATGTCATCCGACGACTCGCTCATTGTTCGCTCAAACAAAACCATCTTGGTGGCAAATTATCTGGAATGACAGAAGCAAAAAGCTTGTTTATTATCAACAAAAAGAACCTATTCTTTACTTCATTCTATATAACTTGGATGAAAATACCACTTTAATTTCAACATAGCACAGTAGTCTACTTCAACGGCTTACATCCAAGGGTTCCAGGTTCAATCCCCGGGTAAAGTAGACAGTTGGACATGTTTTCATTCACTTCATGCATTTGTTTACCTAGAAGTAAATAGATAACATTGAGTTAGGTAATTATTGTGAGTTGTATGAAGTCTCCTGGCGAGCTTTTTGCTATTTCCTTTCCCTTTGTCCATCCTCTACGGTGTTGGTTTCAGTTGTCCTGTCTCTCTGAATCGGTGTCTTGTGGCAAATATTGTTGCTTCATTTAGTGCAGTGCTGGCAGAGCTGCTTCAGTTTGCATTTGGGATCAATACTTCCTCAGTGAATTTCATAAGCATCCTCGGGCCACTGTTTCATCTCTAGCCTGCTCATGCAGTGCCTGAACCTGTTTGGTCTTTGGACGGTGTTCTTTACTTCCTTTCTTCTGCTCATTTTACGGTACCCCCTTCAAACAATGATTGCTTTCGTAAGGCTCTGTTTTTGCCCATTCACCTCCGTTTGTTGTGTGGGTGAGCTTCATGATTGTCGGTGACGGGGTTTTTGTTCTTTCGGCACGTAGGGTCTTTTGTTTGTCTGAAAACCAGCTTCTTTTCTGCCAAAGAATGAGTCAGTTGGCTTTCAAAGGGGTCCTTTGGTAGTGAATGCTTGGTTGATTCAGCCGGGGGTACATCATGTGCCGAGTCGAGAGGTAGCTCCGAGCTCCGTTAGAATCCATTCTATAAAAACTAGTGTTTAATGAAATGAAACGCCATTTTCTGGGTAAGACCCTGAGACTTCCTGGAGCTATCCAGGCTGATATGGATATATTAGACTTTGGCATCAGTCGTGTGAATGGAGTTCTTAGGCCTACCGGGGACCACGAGCCAGAACCTGGCCCCCTCAGAGAAGCACGAGGAACAATGACCTATGGACCTACCTACATCTTATTTGGAAGCAAATCTACAAATGCAATTCAGCTTCAGATAGACAATGTAAACATTAGCAATAAAAATGATGGAAAGTTTCTTGGCCTATTCCTAAACAAGAGACTCAACTTCAGCACCCACATACAACACATAACTAAGAAAGTCTCTAAAACAGTTGGTATACTCTCCAAAATCAGATATTATGTACCTAACTCTGCTCTCATCTCTCTATATTATGCACTAACCTATCCCTATCTTAATTATGGTATCTGTGCATGGGGTTCAACCACTGCAAACCACCTCAAGTCCATCATCACCCAGCAAAAATCTGCTATCAGAATAATAACAAATTCTGCTTTCAGACAACACTCAGCCCCCTTGTTAAACTCCCTAAACATGCTAAAACATAATCTCACTCCACAAATTCTCTTGTGTCAACTACATTTACAAACCCTGTTCTTAAATGCAAATCCTGCTCTGAAACTCTCCCGAGAAAGACTGACACAAAGACTTGAGATCGAACCAACCATGTAACCGACCGGATCGATCTGCTGAAAAAGGCGACGCCGCGGGAAGACCCCTCTGATTTGGACACCGAGCAAGCAGCGCCTGAAACAAAGGCTGGGCCGACCACCAAGGAGCCAAGAGGACTATTCTCCCCTCGTAAGTCTCCAAGAGAACTAGAACCTAAAGCAACAGCTGAACTGGGGGATGGAGATACAGGTATCCCCATCTCTACCAGTCCTTCCACAAGGCATCGACCCCGATGGCCTCGCAGTTGAGGAAGGGCACCACGTATAACTGGAGACGCCTTGACCACGCCGACGCGAAGAGGTCCACCTCTGGGAGCCCGTACGTCCGGTAGAGCCAACTGAATGAATCGGCATCGACCATCCATTCTGTGGACAGGGAAGTGAACTGTGACTGGCCGTCCACCAGGACGTTGGACACCCCCTGAACGTGAACGGCCAGGAGAGCCAAACCCTGAGAACTCAGCAGACGAGTCACCTGAAGCGAACAGCCCCCAAAGAGCCAAGGACCGCATCGAACCCCCTCGGCCTGGTCTCTGACCATCTTGAAGAGAAAACTAGATTATTTTTTAAAAAAGTGCTGGAGCAACCGAGCTGTAGTAGGTATGTGGGCCTGCGGGCCGCTCCACAGAACAGCCTGGTGGACCAAGCTCTCACAAGTCAAGCCTGGCCTTGGGCCTGGCTTGGGGAGTAGAACTCCCAGAACCCCATCAAGCAGGTATCAAGCAGATAATGATATTCAAGCCTTACAAAGAGATCTACATAAACTCCACAAATAGTCAGAAGACTGGCAAATGCTTTTTAATATTAACAATGCAAGACCATGCATGTGGAGCATAACAACCCGCACCACGACTACCAAGTTAATAGCATTACATTACAGCAGATTGATGAAGAAAAGGACCTTGGAGTCAAAATCCACTACTCATTAAAAGTGGCACAATGGAGGGGAGGTGCAGCAGTCAGAAAAGCTAACCAAACTCAAGCATACTTTAGACTTTAACCCTTAAACCGTGCAAATCATATATATATATATGATTTCAGTGACAAAACCAAAACCGCGCACATCATATATATATGATTTCGTGTCTAGCGCTATAATTTAAACACCCCGCCTGGGATAGGGGCAGCTATAGTGCAGCCACGACCGATAGTTGCCAGATGCCACCTACAAAAAAATCCAGGCCAACATTCTTGGGTGTAGGAGCTTCAGTATTGAGCAAGCCACCAAGGCTGGCACAGCACGAGCTCACAGCACCGCTGTTCAGCTTGTGACCACAGCATCACCTACAAATGCCATAATTTATATGATACTGCTATTATTTAGCAATGATAGTATTACAGAAGACCCCTGACTGTGATAAAACTGACCAGGATTCTGATAATAGCAGGATTGTGGTGATATTTAGCGCTGTGCTCCATGGAGGGAGGAGTAATGCTGTGGGAGGGGAGGGTAGTGGCGTTGTCTTCTGACTGTGTGTGGCCACCTTTTATTGGCTGCACTCACCATACCAGCTTAGTGGTTCGCTATGGTGAACACAAATGTAGATACTTATATATAACGTGTGTATAGTGTAATAACAGCAAGAGTAGGAGGTTGGGAGCCGCCATTTTGGTGAGGGAGGTGGCGTCGTCTGCACGATTTGTCATGTTGTTTACTGGTGGCCACTATGATCTTTGGGCACCATACCAGCTTATTTGTACAGGTATGGTGAATAAAACAGGTAGATACTTATTTATTATGTGTGTATATAGCATAATAACACCACAAACAATATTGTTGGAGGAGAAATATTAGTGCGTCTGGCCGTGACGGCGGCCGCCACCAGCTGACTGTGTGAGTAGCTACGTCTTTGTGCCTTTACTCACCATACAAGCTTAGATGTACAGTTATGGTGAACAAAACATGTAAATACTTATATATAACGTCTGTGTATAGTGAATAAATGCAAAAACAGTATTGTGGGAGGAGAATGAGGGCAAGTGAGGTGTTGTTGAGGGAGGGAGTGGCTGGCTGGTGTGTGGCGGTCACTCCTCGTTGCTTTTTGACTCACAATACCAACTTAGTAGTTCATTATGGTAAACAAAACATGCAGATACTTATATATAACCTGTGTATATAGTGTAACAACAGCAAAACTATTTGTTTATTGTTTTATGAACATAATAATTGAATCACTAATATGCACACCATAATTTTGAGTACAGCGATAGTTCACTCATTTTATTATATAAATATATCACAAATCACTCTATTGAATAATATTACTGCAAAAAAACTAAGAAAAAAATCAGACAGTGAAATAATTAGGTAATAATATATTTGTGGCAACTGCCGCCTGACAGCTCGAGCGGAGTAGACCTCGTCTGGCGAAGGCTCTGTCAACGCCCCTTTTTTGCCACACTTCCCTACCCTATTTCGGCTAAAATATGCCACCTACGATTTTTTTGTTATTTTTTCGGTGATCAGGGAACAAAAATGAACACTTGTATAAGACGAAAGAATTTTTTGGATTTTTTTTTTTTTTTTGCGCATGTGGGTGTTAAATCCATTTGGACCCCTAGCGGTTTGAGGGTTAAGGAAAAGAGGGTATTGGTTTGACTGTATAAATCTCTGGTGCGCCCCGGGTAGGCTGTAACTGCCAAAACTGTGATGAGTTTTAAAATATACCTGGAAAAGTTCAAGACAAATGGGAAGGAACTTCAACAAGCCCCCTGGCTTCCTGTCCTCATCGAGGCCACTAGGGTTAGTGGCCCTCAGGTAAATCAGGTAAAAGTAGGGGGTATTAAGTGCTGCACAAAAGTAGGGGTAATAAGTACTGCACAAAAATAACGGTAATAAATACTACACAAAAGTAGGCATAATAAGTACTGCACAAAAGTAGGGATAATAAGTACTGCACAAAAGTGGGGGTAGTAAGTACCTGTACTGTACAAAAAGAGGGGCAATAAGTACTGCACAAAAGTAGGGCAATAAGTACTGCACAAAAGTAGGGGTAATAAAAACTATAGAAAAGTAGGGGTAATAAGTACTGTACCAGTGCAGTATAAGAAAAATTAACTTCATAGGCATGAGGAGCCCGATAGATTTATATACCTGTGAATGCTTCTTCATCAACCGGGCTGTGGTGCCCCCTCGTGGATCAAGAAGTGTGAGCAACAATAGCCAGACTGATCAATCTGTCAAAAATGAGGGCATATTAAAGATCAAATTGTAGTGATTGTGAACAACAATCATCACAAAGGTTTTGGCTACACATAGCACTCATTTATTCTTCACTGTAGTACAGTACAGTGTTCTATATGTTATGTGTTCTATATGGCTAACATTGGTGTATCCAAAAAATTATAGAAAAACTTGGGTATATATTTTCTGTAAATTATTATTTTGGTTGTTATTTCCCATTTGAGATAATAAACCTTAATCTGAATTATAAAATTAATGATTTCTTTCTTTTTCCCCTTTGAATTACTTCCATAAAGAGCTGGGGATTTTGCATTATGAAAAACTATGCCTTTTTGTAGTTATCAGTGGAAAACTTTTTGATGTAGGGCGACTTGCATGATAAACTCAGTCAGTGTTCAGTAGGAATCCTTAAGGGGCTTGGTCAGAGTTCCCGATGTTTTTGCAATGAAGAGGGAAACCCCCAGGTTGAATTGCTCAAGGAGGACATAGGATTGACATAGAGGGCACATACATCCATTATATACAAGATCATATACAAGGGGAGGTGTGCCATACCTGGCAGGCAGTGTAGTAGAACACAAGGGTGGTGTGCCATACCTGGCAGGTGGTGTAGTAAAACACAGGGGAGGTGTGCCATACCTGGCAGGTGGTGTAGTAGAACACAGGGGAGGTGTGCCATACCTGGCAGGTGGTGTAGTAAAACACAAGGGAGATGTGCCATACCTGGCAGGTGGTGTAGTAGAACACAGGGGAGGTGTGCCATACCTGGCAGGTGGTGTAGTAGAACACAGGGGAGGTGTGCCATACCTGGCAGGCAGTGTAGTAGAACACAAGGGAGGTGTGCCATACCTGGCAGGAAGTGTAGTAGAACACAAGGGAGGTGTGCCATACCTGGCAGGTGGTGTAGTAGAACACAAGGGAGGTGTGCCATACCTGGCAGGCAGTGTAGTAGAACACAAGGGAGGTGTGCCATACCTGGCAGGCAGTGTAGTAGAACAAAAGGGAGGTGTGCCATACCTGGCAGGCAGTGTAGTAGAACACAAGGGAGGTGTGCCATACCTGGCAGGCAGTGTAGTAGAACAAAAGGGAGGTGTGCCATACCTGGCAGGTGGTGTAGTAGAACACAGGGGAGGTGTGCCATACCTGGCAGGCAGTGTAGTAGAACACAAGGGAGGTGTGCCATACCTGGCAGGCAGTGTAGTAGAACAAAAGGGAGGTGTGCCATACCTGGCAGGCAGTGTAGTAGAACACAAGGAAGTGCCATACCTGGCAGGCAGTGTAGTAGAACACAAGGGAGGTGTGCCATACCTGGCAGGGGGTGTAGTAGAACACAAGGGGAGGTGTGCCATACCTGGCAGGCAGTGTAGTAGAACACAAGGGAGGTGTGCCATACCTGGCAGGCAGTGTAGTAGAACAAAAGGGAGGTGTGCCATACCTGGCAGGTGGTGTAGTAGAACACAAGGGAGGTGTGCCATACCTGGCAGGTGGTGTAGTAGAACACAAGGGAGGTGTGCCATACCTGGCAGGTGGTGTAGTAGAACACAAGGGAGGTGTGCCATACCTGGCAGGCAGTGTAGTAGAACAAAAGGGAGGTGTGCCATACCTGGCAGGCAGTGTAGTAGAACACAAGGGAGGTGTGCCATACCTGGCAGGCAGTGTAGTAGAACACAAGGGAAGGTGTGCCATACCTGGCAGGTGGTGTAGTAGAACACAAGGGAGGTGTGCCATACCTGGCAGGTGGTGTAGTAGAACACAAGGGAAGGTGTGCCATACCTGACAGGCAGTGTAATAGAACACAAGGGAAGGTGTGCCATACCTGGCAGGCAGTGTAGTAGAACACAAGGGAAGGTGTGCCATACCTGGTAGGTGGTGTAGTAGAACACAGGGGAGGTGTGCCATACCTGGCAGGCAGTGTAGTAGAACAAAAGGGAGGTGTGCCATACCTGGCAGGTGGTGTAGTAGAACACAAGGAAGTGCCATACCTGGCAGGCAGTGTAGTAGAACAAAAGGGAGGTGTGCCATACCTGGCAGGTGGTGTAGTAGAACACAGGGGAGGTGTGCCATACCTGGCAGGTGGTGTAGTAGAACAAAAGGGAGGTGTGCCATACCTGGCAGGTGGTGTAGTAGAACACAAGGGAGGTGTGCCATACCTGGCAGGCAGTGTAGAAGAACACAGGGGAGGTGTGCCATACCTGGCAGGTGGTGTAGTAGAACACAAGGGAAGGTGTGCCATACCTGGCAGGTGGTGTAGTAGAACAAAAGGGTGGTGTGCCATACCTGGCAGGTGGTGTAGTAGAACACAAGGGAAGGTGTGCCATACCTGGCAGGTGGTGTAGTAGAACACAAGGGAAGGTGTGCCATACCTGGCAGGTGGTGTAGTAGAACACAAGGGAAGGTGTGCCATACCTGGCAGGGGGTGTAGTAGAACACAAGGGAAGGTGTGCCATACCTGGCAGGCAGTGTAGTAGAACACAAGGGAAGGTGTGCTATACCTGGCAGGTGGTGTTGTAGAACACAAGGGAAGGTGTGCCATACCTGGCAGGGGGTGTAGTTGAACACAAGGGTGGTGTGCCATACCTGGCAGGCAGTGTAGTAGAACACAAGGGAAGGTGTGCCATACCTGGCAGGTGGTGTTGTAGAACACAAGGGAAGGTGTGCCATACCTGGCAGGTGGTGTAGTAGAACACAAGGGAGGTGTGCCATACCTGGCAGGAAGTGTAGTAGAACACAAAGGAAGGTGTGCCATACCTGGCAGGGGGTGTAGTAGAACACAAGGGAAGGTGTGCCATACCTGGCAGGTGGTGTAGTAGAACACAAGGGAAGGTGTGCCATACCTGGCAGGTGGTGTAGTAGAACACAGGGGAGGTGTGCCATACCTGGCAGGTGGTGTAGTAGAACACAGGGGAGGTGTGCCATACCTGGCAGGTGGTGTAGTAGAACACAGGGGAGGTGTGCCATACCTGGCAGGTGGTGTGCCATACCTGGCAGGTGGTGTAGTAGAACACAGGGGAGGTGTGCCATACCTGGCAGGTGGTGTGCCATACCTGGCAGGTGGTGTAGTAGAACACAGGGGAGGTGTGCCATACCTGGCAGGTGGTGTAGTAGAACACAGGGGAGGTGTGCCATACCTGGCAGGTGGTGTGCCATACCTGGCAGGTGGTGTAGTAGAACACAGGGGAGGTGTGCCATACTTGGCAGGTGGTGTGCCATACCTGGCAGGTGGTGTAGTAGAACACAGGGGAGGTGTGCCATACCTGGCAGGTGGTGTAGTAGAACACAGGGGAGGTGTGCCATACCTGGCAGGTGGTGTAGTAGAACACAGGGGAGGTGTGCCATACCTGGCAGGTGGTGTAGTAGAACACAGGGGAGGTGTGCCATACCTGGCAGGTGGTGTAGTAGAACACAGGGGAGGTGTGCCATACCTGGCAGGTGTAGTAGAACACAGGGGAGGTGTGCCATACCTGGCAGGTGGTGTAGAACACAGGGGAGGTGTGCCATACCTGGCAGGGGGTGTAGTAGAACACAGTCTCTGGCTGCCACGGAGAAAAATAATCATGTCAACCTTGCGCTGAGTAAACTTGTCCAGTTTTCACACGCAGTTTACACGAAACTATTCCTCGTGTAATCGCTATACACATCCCTTGAGTGGGTGAGCCAGCAGGTGTGGCAGAGAGTACAGATGTGACACAGCCAGAGAGAGAGAGGACTCGGGCGGACCACAGCTGCTCCAGCACAACACTGGAGGCCTCCACACCGCGCCTCCCTCCCCGGCCACGCTCACTAACTACGCACATTAATGAGATTAATCTCCAGCTGCCAGCCTCACCCGCCTCTTTATCCTCTCACATGTCAACACTGCAGTACAAAGTGACCCAGGTTGGTAGAGATGACATTAATGTATATATAAACAATAATTGTGTGAAATATGTGGTAGAGGAAGGCCAGGGCCGCCCCACCCCGAGGACGCCCACACCACCCACATCACTCAACACTTTTATTAACATTTCCCTCAATTATAACTTAAACCTTATTGAAAAAGATATTTGGTGTTTGCTAATGCATATTCCTGCAACTATTCTAGCTATTAATGTAAGTCTATTGCAGAGCATTTATTGATTTACACTACATGTACCAAATGGGAAAATATTGATAAAACTGCAATGTACTAAAAGTAATGGTTTGTACTAAACAATATGAAACTCTATATATGTGGATAACATTGTGATAGTGACTCCGCTTTACTCTTACTTCAAGGGGAAATAATCTGCCCACTTTCTTTTTTTTCTTTGTAATAAACATTTGTAATCGCACAATGTGCTTGGAGAGTCGAGCTCTAGCTCTAGTAGTTTAGGTTAGTTTAGTTTATTTAGGGTGGCACACCACAGGGGACCCATAGAAGTTGAGTGCCCAAATGAGCCACAGAGACATTAGAAAGAACTTTTTCAGTGTCAGAGTAGTTAGTAAATGGAATGCACTAGGAAGTGATGTGGTGGAAACTCCATGCGCAGTTTCAAATGTAGTTTCACAGTTTCAAAGGTTAAACAATCCACGGCTTAGAAAAGGTATACTTAAATCTATTAATGAAAAACATGACCTTGAGAAGAAGTATAAGTTAAGAGTTATCTCCAAAGAATTTTCAAAGATTTACTCATCAATGCTGTCTAAAATACTTAGGAGAGCCAAAATAAAATGCTTCGAAAACAAATTTACCCAAATTAAGGACAACATTAAGAAAACATGGGGCACCATCTCCCAAATATTAGAATCAAAAAAGATTTTAAATAAAAAAAAATACTCCTATCCAATAACGATGGTGTGCTTTCAGCCTCTGACACTGATATTGAATGCAATAGGTTCTTCTCATCCATTGGGACATCCCTTGCTAATGATATTCCATCCTCCAGTACTAGTGTTAAGGACTATCTTACAGGTAGCTATCCAGAGTCTCTGTCCCTAACTCCTGCTAATTCCATTGATTTTAATGAGATAATCTTTTTCCTTAAAACAAAGTCAAGTGCCCTTGTTGAGATACCAACTCTAATTTACAAAAAGCCTCCAGATTCTTAGCTGATGCCATTGCATTGCTCTACAAAAAGTCACTTGAACTTCCAATCTTTCCTGATATTCTAAAAAAAAAAAAGCTAGAGTAACCCATGTCCATAAATGTGGTGATCTCACTGATGTTAACAATTACAGACCTATATCAATCTTGTCAAAAATATTTGAAAAGCTAATCTACAAGCAGCTTTACTCCTATCTAGCCAATCACAATATACTTAATATTAGCTCTTGCCAATATGGGTTCAGACCCAAAAAAGCACTAACGATGCACTTATTAGTATGATTAACTTGATACATGCAGCTCTTGATAAAAACAAGCTCCTTGTTGGGTCATTTGTTGACCTACGTAAGGCTATTGACACTGTCAACCACCAAAACCTTCTTCTTAAATTACATCATTATGGAGTCAGAGGTCACTCCCTCCAATACCTTCAGTCTTACCTTACTGACAGGCTCCAGTATGTTTCTGTGAATAATTCCATTTCTCCCTACCCATCAACATTGATATTCCATAGGGCATCATACTTGGTCCTCTCCTCTTTCCAACCCGTCCTCGGACTTGCTTATGGTCAATATTGGCTTATTTAATAAGTGCATATGTGACATACTAATTGATTGTGAATATTTTAGTTTACCTTGAAAAGCTTCATAGAAAACACCGACCTCACCTAACCTTCTTAGTATGTTAAGATAAGCATCTTATTGCTTCTTATTTACAATTATTACTTAACCTATCAACGGTATAGGTTAAGTAATAATTATAATTATTACAAAGGAGCATCCCTTTGTGCCCTTAAGAAAAAGGATGGTGGAGTCGGACCCAGTGCCGTGGGTAACACACTTAGGCGCCTCGTCAAGGGCAGCTGTCAGAAACATCCGCACGGAAGTTGCAACGATGCTTCGACCCAATCAACTAAGTTTTGCAAGGCAAACACAAAACGTTTTTTAACATTTTTATTTAGTCTCAGACAGGTGACACTTTAACTATTTATGTAAAGATGTCTTTTTAACGTGTAAAATACGTTAATTTTAGTCAATCAAATGTGTGAGTGTACTCACCTATTTGTGCTTGCCGGGGTTAATCTTTGGCTATTAGACTAATAACAGTTTGAAAGGTGGTGTTTAGGAAGTACCGGTCGACCCTACAAGATCATATAGGTGAGCAGATGTAGGTGAGTGTACACACATACTTAACATAAGTGAGGTTTGGCAGCAAGTGTTGAGTGCGGGAGCGTGGCCAGAGTGTTCCTGGGTTGCTCACCGCTGACAGTCTTGGCGCCCAACTCAACACGTGACAACAACACTCTACGCCACTGCTACATTTCACATATACACTGGACGGTATACCTCGCTTCTCCGAGTATACACACTATCAGTTTACGTTAGTCCTGGACTGTGTCCACGACTGAAGTATAGTTAACGATGATAACCTTGACTAGACCGTGTGGGGCACATACCCAGTCATCCTTGTAGTGTATAACACAACCACCCTTGTAGTGTATAACCCAGTCATTCTTGTAGTGTATAACCCAGTCATCCTTGTAGTGTATAACACAACCACCCTTGTAGTGTATAACCCAGTCATTCTTGTAGTGTATAACCCAGTCATCCTTGTAGTGTATAACACAACCACCCTTGTAGTGTATAACACAGTCATCCTTGTAGTGTATAACCCAGTCATCCTTGTAGTGTATAACCCAGTCATTCTTGTAGTGTATAACCCAGTCATCCTTGTAGTGTATAACCCAGTCATTCTTGTAGTGTATAACCCAGTCATCCTTGTAGTGTATAACACAACCACCCTTGTAGTGTATAACACAGTCATCCTTGTAGTGTATAACCCAGTCATCCTTGTAGTGTATAACCCAGTCATCCTTGTAGTGTATAACCCAGTCATCCTTGTAGTGTATAACCCAGTCATCCTTGTAGTGTATAACCCAGTCATCCTTGTAGTGTATAAGCCAGTCATCCTTGTAGTGTATAACACAACCATCCTTGTAGTGTATAAGCCAGTCATCCTTGTAGTGTATAACACAACCATCCTTGTAGTGTATAACCCAGTCATCCTTGTAGTGTATAACACAACCATCCTTGTAGTGTATAACCCAGTCATCCTTGTAGTGTATAACACAACCATCCTTGTAGTGTATAACACAACCATCCTTGTAGTGTATAACACAACCATCCTTGTAGTGTATAACACAACCATCCTTATAGTGTATAATACAACCATCCTTGTAGTGTATAATACAACCATCCTTGTAGTGTATAACACAACCATCCTTATAGTGTATAATACAACCATCCTTGTAGTGTATAACACAACTATCCTTGTAGTGTATAACACAACGAATGTAGTGTATAGTAATTGAGAGGGTATATAAAGATAAACTGTTTAGCACGGGTAGCACCCGTCAACTGATAATGGTCCAGGACGGACTGAAACGTTGACTAACTCTTCATCTTCTGGTGTGTGATTAAGTCATCATATCTTCAGCCACGTTATTGTGACTCATCGTCTACATACTAACAGCATTGTATCTTATAGATAAACTATAGATGTAATCTTTACATGAGGCTAGCAGGTGGAGACTGGGAAAATGAGGAGACACTGGCCTGGATTACGGAGTATCTGTAATAGGAAACGGGATTATTGTGTGAGACGAAGAATCAGGATAGAGGTATAGGGACCAACGGGGACCAGTAAGGCTCGGTGCTTGCACCAACACTCTTCCTGATGTGTGTAAATGACCTTAGGGAGGGAGCAGGTAGGAACACACCTGCCAGTGTTTCCAGGTACTCACCTAATTGTGCTTGCGGGGGTTGAGCTCTGGCTCTCTGGTCCCGCCTCTCAACCGTCAATCAACTGATGTACAGATTCCTGAGCCTATTGGGCTCTGTCATATCTACATTTGAAACTGTGTATGGAGTCAGCCTCCACCACTTCACTTCCTAGTACATTCCATTTACTAACTACTCTGACACTGAAAAATTTCTTTCTAATGTCTATGTGGCTCATTTGGGTACTCAGCTTCCACCTGTGTCCCCTTGTGCGTGTGCCACCCATGTTATATAATCCATCCTTGTCCTCCCTGTCAATTCCCCTGAGAATTTTGTATGCGGTAATCATGTCTCCCCTAGCTCTTCTGTCTTCCAGCGACGTGAGGTACAGTATGAGGTACCCTCATAACTCATGCCTCTTAGTTCTAGGACTAGCCTAGTGGCATACCTCTGAGCTTTTTCCAGCTTCGTCTTGTGCTTGACTAGATACGGGCTCCATGCTGGGGCTGCATACTCCAAGATTGGCCTTACATATGTGGTATACAAGGTTCTGAAGGATTCCTTACACAGGTTTCTGAAAGCAAATCTGATGTTAGCCGTACCTCGCTGATGTTATTCTTTTGATGTGGGCTTTGGAGACAGGTTTGGCGTGATATCAACTCCTAGATCTTTCTCTCCGTTTCGTGAAGGACTTCATCTCCCATTCGGCATCCAGTGACTGGCCTCCTAGTTCCTCCTCCTAGTTTCATTACCTTACATTTACTTGGGTTGAACTTTAGTAGGCCTTTGTCGGACCATTCCTTCAGTTTGTCTAAGTCTTCTTGTAGCCTCATATTATCCACCTCATATTTTTTTCATCATCAGCAAACATCGAGAAGAACTAATCAATTCCTTCTGGGAGATCATTTACTTATATCAGAAACAGAATAGGTCCAAGGACTGA